CCCTAAATGTAATATATATTTAAGGCAAGCGGTAATTATCAAGAAAAGCAAATTATGTTTCGGAATATTTCCATCTGGGTTTACCCAAACCTATATTTGTGTTGAAATACATGTCATTGTCATTTACCATTTCCCTTTACGTAATATATTTTTATTTTTTTACAGAAATAGTTACTCACCTAAAACTAAGAGCTGCATCTGCTAAAAGAAAAGGTAGCTTTGGAACCATAAACTGTCCTAATATTTTGGTTGCTGTTGGAACAATGAATTATTTTACGTTTTAACCACTTTGAGAAGCGCTTTCAAATTGCCGTTGTTGGAGATAAATGTGTTTTAACCCAAATCTGATTTGTCGTAATTTCTCTGGTCTGGTTTCGCCTGTTGTGTATTCTTATATTTCTAATAGGAAACATTGCACTCTCATGTTGATTTTTGCGAGTTGAAGTTGCTTCATAAGAAATATATACGCACGTTCCTCTTTTGTAATCGCTCTGCAATTAGTTTTATGAAGACGAGCATTAACATTTTTTTAATGCTTGCATATATATTTTTTAAATTTTTTTCTCAATTTTCCTCCTAGATAAAGGGTCATATTGTGATAAATTATTTGAAATAGATGCAAAAATATGGAATGGAACTGGCGGGGTTTTCAAGGGTGATGACAACTTTGGGAAAAAAAGATGTTTATTGTGACCAAACCGCTGATGGAGGAGGATGGCTGGTATGTATATTCAATGAGCATATATACAATGAGTGGAAACTTCCAAATATTTGCTCATTAATCCATTGCATTTTTACGTCGTCCAGCTAAATGGTTCGTTGCATATGAAGAAAGCACATTGTTCGCTACAAAAATCCCTTGTTTCAGCTGGGTCGGGTGCGAAATTGGCCGTATTGAGGCCAAGCATACTAACTATAAGCATATGCATATTGGGAATACATATCTATTAGGCAGAAAACGTAGCTACAGAACAGAATATGAATCAGTCGCCACGTGGGTTGCGGTTATTGGTGTATTTATTCATTGATATAACATGGGAAATACATATTTATCCAGGGGGAGAGGAAAGCCGATAAAGCCGAAAGCCTAATAAATGGCGAACCACGGCCTCTCCAAATAGCTATGTGCTCCATATGAACCCCCTGACTGCCTGGACTTTGTGAGGTATTCGTATACTTATTAAAAATACTGATTTTAACTATAAATTACTCTGGGATATCTTGCAATTGAAATTTAAAATTTGCCATTTTCATGTCTTGTGAGTTTACACAAAAAAAACTGTTTTTTATTTTATTATTTAGAGTACATTTTGTTATCAATTATGATTTTTGCATATATATTATTTAATTTTAGCGATCCTTCATATAGTCATATATATAGATACTGTTGATTTGGATGCAATTATACTTTTGTAATCAATAGTGAGATATAGAATTTGAACAAGGGTCGCAGCCAGGATTTTTCCAACGGGGTGGGGGGCATACGGTAAAATTAAAACAGAGCGCCAAAAGTTTAATTCACGACGGCGTGAGGCGTGTAATAAATTAAAAACAATGCGTCGTTCTCAGCGAAATTCCACAGTCACGTGTAGCTCGCCTCTGTTTTCTTGACGGTGTTTGGTGAACATATACAAAAACACGTTCGCGTGTAGCGCCGATCGAATCATGAAATGTGGAAATTTTACTTGGAATTTAATGTTAACAAAGTTGATTTTTTATTGTCATTTATTGATTATTTACATGCGCCGTGATTAGTGGTGGGCAAACCGTATTTTTGTTGTATAATATTTTTGAATATTTTAACGAACATCGGCGAAGATGTTAAAGACAACTATTAGGGAATGTATTCACAACAAAAATTAATTTTATTCTGATTTTTATCTCCTGTGTTGGATTTGTATCACAGTTACGGTCCCAATTTTGAGCAAACAATATTATCATTACTGACCCCAGGATGCGATATTTCTGAAGTTGATAGTTGACATTTTCATGTTTTAATTTTATATCGTTTCCGTGTTACTTTCGTATTAAATAATAATTAAAAAACTCCGCAATTTGGTAATCTCTAGAATACTCAGTGTTGAGTATTCACGTAACTCAGCTTTGGTTTAAAACACTGATACTTAACACGTGAATAAATCAGCAATAATGGCATTTCTACGAGGTCAAAATATTATTTTTCCACAATATCTCGGGAAATTTGCATAGAATACATTATTCACATGCCTTGCTTATTTGATTCAACGTTTCTAAATTTACAAAAACGAAGTTGACGCGATTTACGCAAAATTAGAAATTGAGAAATAGCGCCGATCGAATCATGAAATGTGGAAATTTTACTTGGAATTTAATGTTAACAAAGTTGATTTTTTATCGTCATTTATTGATTATTTACATGCGCCGTGATTAGTGGTGGGCAAACCGTATTTTTGTTGTATAATATTTTTGAATATTCTAACGAACATCGGCGAAGATGTTAAAGACAACTATTAGGGAATGTATTCACAACAAAAATTAATTTTATTCTGATTTTTATCTCCTGTGTTGGATTTGTATCACAGTTACGGTCCCAATTTTGAGCAAACAATATTATCATTACTGACCCCGGGATGCGATATTTCTGAAGTTGATAGTTGACATTTTCATGTTTTAATTTTATATCGTTTTCGTGTTACTTTCGTATTAAATAATAATTAAAAAACTCCGCAATTTGGTAATCTCTAGAATACTCAGTGTTGAGTATTCACGTAACTCAGCTTTGGTTTAAAACACTGATACTTAACACGTGAATAAATCAGCAATAATGGCATTTCTACGAGGTCAAAATATTATTTTTCCACAATATCTCGGGAAATTTGCATAGAATACATTATTCACATGCCTTGCTTATTTGATTCAACGTTTCTAAATTTACAAAAACGAAGTTGACGCGATTTACGCAAAATTAGAAATTGAGAAATATGATGGCGCAAAATGACACAAAACGAAAAATTCTCACATTCATCGTTTCTGCCTGTTGGCAATAGCCGTCCGTAAATTTTACGTAACTCGTTGTAAATTTATGTTAATAAATTCTATTTTGCTGCTTTGTATTAAAATAAAAAGAAATTTTTTCCTCAAACCAGGAGGGGGAGTGTGGTTAAGACCAGTGGTGGGATTTAGCCGGTTCTATAGAACCGTCCCACAGAATTTAATGAGATCAGCGAAACGGTAAGCATTACTGAAAAAACATGTAACAGAACCGGCCGAAAACTATGACTTTTGTGATGGAACCAGATGACAAAAAATTTGAATCCCACCACTGGTTACGATCCATGTAAAGGGGGACGTGGGGCTTTGTATTCATTGATATAGGATGGGGTTAACATATTTACTCATGTGGAGAGGAAAGTCATTAAGCCGATTCCCTGCTATTCTTCTAATTTTTGTCTTCGTTTTTATTGTCAAGATATCCAAGACTGCCAGAGTGATATGAAATCGGAGAGCCCTGGGGCTTCGTATGGAGCGCCTTATAAACTATGATTGCGAGAAGCCGTGGTTCGCCCTATATTTAGGACTTCCTATCCCTTTCCCATGGATAAATATGTACCTAAATCCCATGCTATAATCAGAAATAACCGCACTTGACTTCATATTCTGTGCTATAGCTAATAGATATGCATTCCCAATAAGCATATGCTAATAGTTAGTATGCATTCAACGTACCATACTTCGAAACCCAAAACCGAACACGAATCGAAAAATTAAGAGTCTCAATACGGCCAATTTGCAACCGGCGAGGCCGAAGCAAGGGATTTTTGCAGCGAGCGATATGCTTTCTCCATATGCAACGAACCATTTAGCTGGACGACGTGAAAAATGCAGGGCACAATGGATTAATGAGCAACTATTTGGAAGTTTCCACTCATTGTATATATGCTCATTGGTATATTCTATATAAATTTTAAGGAAATATCAAGTAAAAATAGTTATATATCAATACTAAATTGTATTTTGAATATATGAGCATTCTACCTAATTAACGACAAATAAAATGTTGTAGAAAGGGGTAAGATTGACTTGTGTTTACAAACTTTACTACATGATAATTGTGAATCTATGCTATAAGTAATAAAATGTTCTTGTTCTAATATTATCCTGCTAAGACATCTGCATAATAAGGTAACCATGTACTTCTTTACATTAGGTATTTCAACGTCGAATGAATGGCTTAGTCAATTTCTATCGTGATTGGAAGGATTATGTAAATGGATTCGGGGAAACGCCGAGTGAGCATTGGCTTGGTATGATAGCTTTGTACAGCATGAACAAACTCTGAATCACCGTTTAGCTCTAGTCTGGACCGATGGCGAACAACCGACCAGGTTTTCCCGGTGGCCCGCCAAGTCAAGAATTAATGCAAAAAACATACTAACATCTCTGTGATAAATCAAACGTGGCGGATAAAATAATTGTTGAAACGTTTAGGTGTTTTTAAAAGAACAACAGGAGACAACGGTTGTTTTGAGTCTATGGAAAGCGGCACAGATTGAAAGTTTGAAAACCACTAGCCTAGACCCAGATATTTATTTCATCATCTTTACAGCTTATTCCACACAAGCGCCTTATGTTTTCATTTATTTATTGAATTGATAACAGTCCTACTTAAACAAACCTTTTGTATATTGATAGTAAATTAATTAATGAATAAACACAATGCTCTACTCATAGCTTAAAATTGAATTGCAGCAGCAAACATCTGACACTTTATTAATTTGTATGTATGTCTTCATTGTCTTGATAAATTTTATCACTTCTTGTAGGTCTTGAAATTTTGCACCAATTAACTTCTTCCAACAGCTACGAACTGTTGATTGACATGGCGGATTGGGAAGGAAATAAACGCTACGCAAGATATTCGTAAGTTCTAGATACTTCGTAATTTATCGAATAAATATTACGTTAACTAATACGTATTTCTACTATATCATGCCTTATAAACATTTAACACATATTGGAATTTATTTGAAAAACCACTTTACAAACAGACAGTAATTGGAATAATTGATAGAACTTGTAATTGAACACAATAAAAGATGTGGGTGAAAGAGCATTCTAAATGTTCCTAAAACGATATAATATATGGGTTTGTCTTCCCTGATAGATAACCTATTTGTCCAATACTAAATTTTTGACCAGTCTAAAACCAGTTTATAAGTGAAGTTTTCTGATACAAAAAGACTATTTACGTTTAAACTAGCTTTCATCCTATGAATGTAGCGTTAAATTTCCAGAACATCGGGTTAAAATTTAATTCTTTATTGTTCAGACGTCAGAGATTGCATAGAGCTGTTGTGATTGTATCTGTATTCTCCTTGGTGATTTACGATGTGCACTATTCACCACAAAACCTCTTATTCAACATCTTGTTAGTCGCAAACAACTACATTAATAATATATCGAATTTCGCTTTTTTTAAAACTTTTCATTTGTTTTATTTTTACCTCTGGTACAGATCAATAAAAATGAATAAAACATTGTTGATAACTAAAATTTGAAAGTAATATTCGTTGCTCAAGTCATCGTCGATGTAAGATCTAAATATGAAAACAACATAAGTTAATATAAATTCAATTAAATTCAAATAGTTCAATGAAATAGAGAAAAAATACGCGAAGTGATGTAATTTAAACCAACTGTAAAAATATAATTCGTTATATTGTACCTTCGTTGATATTGTTGAATTCGCCCTCGCCCTCTTCACTCGTGTATGGTCCTTCTTCTTATTGCATCGATTCTCTTCTCTTTCTCCACGTAAAATATATTTCCATTCAAAATGTTCTTCTCATAATAGATCGTGAATTGTGGGCGTGAACTCTTCTGAATCAAAAACAGATGTTTCAGTAAACAAACGTCCTGCGTTGATTTTCCACGACTGAAAAAATGTTTTATTATTTAGATAAATATTTTCGTATATAAATAAATGAGTTCGAAATACTAAATTTAGAACAAATACCTGTTGCTGAATCACATCTGACCAACTGATTCCAATCTTCTTTGCGTCTTCGTCGTCATAACACATAGAAAATAGTGAAACGTATTATGTTTGCATAAATTCGTTAGATTCTTCATCCCGGAGAAAGCAAAAAAGTAGAGTATTTAAATTTTTTTTAAATTCTCTAAATTCAACTGGTGGCGATTATCTAGTTCAGGGTGGTCCAAACCCAGGCTCGCGGGTCACATGTGGCCCGCAGCTCCATTATCTGCGGCCCGCATCACATTCGGAGAGAACCAAAAAATCTCATTTCGTAATAAAATTAATCATAAAAATATTTTTACATATTGTTACATCTCTAATGGCACTGAATTGACTAGTGTTATGGCCAGCTGTGAGGCAACTAGCGAAGTTGAATGATGGGCTTGTTAGTCTAAATTAGTATCTGGCTTTCTATCTGTTTGGTCGAGAATATATGCTAACAATATAGGCATCATAGAAAACTAAGAATCGAATGCGGATTCTATTAGCCAGAGCAGGCTATGTCTCATGACTATGTGTTTGCACAATAAAAAGTGTTTGTTTTGTATTGCACTGTTTACCTATTCTTGGCACTAATGTGGTCCGCAAACAATGAAAAAATAATTTTGTGGCCCGCGGAGCCGACAATGTTGGACCACCCTGATCTAGTTAGTACACACCTCTGCAGTGCATTTTTAGCATTTCTTTTGTATCCTGTTCCGAGTTGTTGTCTTCGTCTTCTAATACATCTATCTTCACCTTTTCAATCATTTCCTTTATCTTCTCCATATCAATCGCAATGTCGTGATCTTGAATCTTTTCCTCTACCAACTCTTTCAAATCATCATCCACCATCTTACTCACCTCAATCACTTCCTCGACATCATTTTCATCTTCTCGCAAACACTTTGAAGATGGACAGCCCATATCTTAATTGAAGAACTACGTCTAAAATTGGCAGTAGCAATACGGTTTGAATTAAAATTAAATCTAAAATATAGGTTCGAACAAGCATTAGTTACAAATATCTTACATTCGGGTGAGGATTTTGGGACGACGGGCAAACAAATTTGGAAAACACTGGGCCACAGGAAGGATTGCAATACCAATAAGTATTAAAGAATAAGATAATATTATGTTAAGCACTCAAACGTACGTAACTAATTATTATGATTTACGCCTGATATTGATAAAACTAAGTAATTACATGTTTCTAAAAAATTAAAAAATTTAAGTTTGTAAAACACAATACCAAATGTAAAATACTCTAAAAATAAAAAATTACAATAAATATAATATGTTGTTTAATCATCAGTGAAAAATAATGTATTAATACACGATCAATACTGAAATGTCATTAAATTCAATATTATTACATTAATGTTATTGAAGTGAACAAGGTCGACAAAAAAAAAACACAAGTTACATAGTTATGATTAACAACTTAGAGCAGGGCCTAGAGAACTACCCTACAGCAAAATTGCACGGAATTTAAAGATAAAGAGATAATTATAAATCAGTACAAGTTTTTAAAGTTGTTTCATTTTTCATAAGTTGTTGGATAAACAAAATAACGAAAGATCACCGAAAGTTGGATTAGGGGTCAATTGGATCTCGATGCTTGCGGATAACAAGCAGACACAAGGTTCTCAATGTAACTTCTGTTAGTTTTTTATCGATAATTTTTGTTAGAAAATTAAAACTTGAATTTATTTTACAACACTTTTTTTCTCCGAGTACTAGGAAACCAGCGGGCAGTAGGGTGACAAAACTGCCCCAATCTATGTGAGGTGACTAAGAGTTCTGAAATGAAACGAAAAATATTTGAATAAACCTATCTTGGCTACATTAATTGAAGTGCTTTGATCTTTAAACATTCAAACTTTGAATCAAAATGAATATGCAAATTAGTACCAGAACCAAACAAAATGAAAAGCGTAAACTCGATAAGCAAGGACCACAGGCATAGCTTTCCGCCAGTCCATTTGAATATATTAATACTACTGATTACACTAAAAATGAATAGTTCTATTAAGACATCATGTGATTTAACTTGTGTATTTCCAATAAACATTTTGGGATCCATATGACTTTGAATAAACAAATAGGGGTTCATGTTGGGAAGCTTAGAGGAACAATCTTCTCTCACTGATGGTTGGCAATTAAAGATACGCAACAAGACTACAAATCATAAACATAAAATTATTACATTAAATTGATAAATGCCTCACATTGTCATGTGTAAAATATAAATAATAATAATAATAAAAATTCATATATAGAGTTTTATATAAAAAAAAATAACATTTGGCGATACATGTTTTAAAACTTGCACTCTATGCGAAGTTCAAATGTAAAACGATTCAGAAATATAACATGCATTATACTCGGTCAATAAACGCATAAAACTTGTGGTCGAGCTTGACTTGAGCAAAATTCGAAAATATGACTATAAAAGCATAGAATATATGAGTAAGTACCAGCAGTTTATTAAATTTCGTTCGAACAATAATTCTTAAATTTGAGTTTTCCCACGTACTAACGTCGTATATTTATCTGGTTCGTAGATTATTGAATTATGCTAAATAACGCAAAATGGGCTTCTGTATCGGGAATTTTTATGGTAACATATCTAAAATATATTTTCACATTTGACCGTAAAATACATGGCGACATTTCTGAATAAAAATGGAAACAAATATAAACCAGAAGTAATAAAATTAAAAATAAAAACAATATAGATGAATGGAATGATTGAATAAAATATTGCTAATAACTAAAATTAATCTTCGTTGCTCAAGTCCTCGTCGATGTAAGATCTGAAAATGTAATAACATAAGCTAAAATTAATTTTTAATTGAATTCAAATAGTACAGAGAAATAGCGAAAAGAATACGCAAAATGCTGCAATTCACTTAACCAACTGTAAAGGAAAAATTTGTAAAAGTTCATTGTATTTGTACCTTCGTTGATATTGTAAGATTCTCCCTCGTCCTCTTGGCTCGTGTATGGTCTTTCTTCTTAATGAATCCAATCTCTTTTCCTTGTCAACGTAAAAGATATTGCCATTCACCAAATATTTCTGATGACATATTGTATCCTGAGTGCGTAGGCATGCGAACTTCATCAGGAACATATAGAAAATAAAAACAGTTTTGAATAAAAATATTACAACATTAAATCCAACTCAAATAATAGTTTCAATGTATTTCGTGAATGAGTTCTAAAGATGACGTCAGATTGACTTCAGTTTTATATCAAAGGCGACTGCTGTCAAGACAATTTGAAACAAATTTACCAATCAGGCTTATATTAATTTACCACAATTTCTTGAAAATACCCCTTTCCGTGAGATAATCGCACCTTTTCTTTAATTTCCAATGTCCACGACGAATCTTCTGAATCAAAAACAGATGTTTCTGAAAACAAACGCCTTCCGTTGATCTTCCACGACTGAAAAAATATTTTTATATATAAATAAATATTTTTTTACGTAAGTAAATAGGTTTGAAATGATAAATCTGGAAAAAATACCTGTTGGCGAATCGCGTCTGACCAACTGATCCCAATCTTCTTTGCGTCTTCTTCGTCAGAACACATAGTAGATTGCACTAAAATAATGTGGAAACATGTTATATTTGGCTAAATTTGTTAGATTCTTCATTCTAGAGAAAGTAAAATGATAATAAGATAACCCAAAATACATGAAATCACATAAGCCTGTATTCAAGTATTCTCAAGAAAGTTTTGTTACTTGGCCCGCCTTACATCTCTGAATTCAATCAAAGGCGATTATTTAGTATATACCTCTACGGTGTATTTCCAGCTTTTCTTTTGTGTTTATTTCCGCGCTGCTGTCTTTGTCTTCTAATCTATCTCTCATTCGGTCTGCCTCTGCCTTTAACACCTTCCTTGCATCCTCAATCACCTGCTCAATCATTTCCTTCACCATCTCCATATCAATGACCATGACGTGATCACGATTTCCTTCATCTGCCAAAACATTCAATTCCGTCACATTATCCTCAACTGATTTACTTACCTCAATAACTTCTTCGCCATCTTCATCCTCTGATGAAAACTTAGAACAAGGGCAACCCATGTCACGATTTAATAACTATGTTATTTTAAAACTAGAAGTACTTAGTATTAAATCTAAAAAATATAGTGTTAAAGGCAGTTAGGACCATTGCGTAAGCAAGTATAGATTGGTGATATGTACGGTACGACAATGACTGGTCGCCATATTCAACATTTCATTTGATCCTTGTCATCTTCCGATATTGATAAAATTGCTCCAAAATTAAGACACAGTTCGAACTAATGATGAACTTAGGTTTTCACTGCTGCCGGCACTACCAGTAATTTTAATTTGAAACAAAACTTAGATTTAAAACTTTACCCAGGGAATTACAAGATTGTAAGAGCTAAATAAAAGTCATTCATCATTCATTCTCCAAATCCAGGTTCTACAAAGTTGAAACGTCATCCTGCTGCCGAAAATCAACCTGCTGCCGCCGGATAAAAGTGAATCGCAAAATCCGATTGCTCAGGTCTCCAAGGAGATGGTATCCATCGCAACTTTATCAAATTCATTGTTACGTAATATTGATCATTCGGGTCAAAGTTCAAGATTCTGGTTGATTTGTCATGAAAACAAACCTATTCAATGAACATTTATGTAATATAAAACATCGTAATAAATTAAATTGAAAAATTCTACAAATAAATGTGTTTGTCACAATTTGCATCATAATTTTTGCAAGAGCTACCGCGTTATTAGCCAATCATAAACGTTGCATTATAAGTTGTCATGCAGGATTATTATGGCGTCATATACAGTCTAACCATAGATTTATGTTATGCATTGTCCCTGGTCTAACTATCGATCAAGGAATACTAAACATTTTGAAGTAGTGGTGCGGGAATGTGTCTCATACGTGGTACATTAAATCTAGCAAACAATGCGAATGCCATACATACTGTCCGTAACCAAATAATAGTATTTCAATACCAGTTTTTTAAACCAGCTGAAAAATACATTGCGCCGCATATAGCAAAATTTTTCCCCAAATCCTATGAATCCCAAAACATTTCCGAAATATCGCGTTTTCCCGAAAATAAGACCCAAACTGAACTTTCAGAATGATATTAATATCAGCCCTCCTCTTAAAATAAGACCTAGTGGCCTAGTCGAGAGCACGAAATTGAATTTGAAAATTTATGAGTCTAATGACTTGCAAGACATTCCAGAGAATGATGATATTGTCATTTTTGAATAATCTATGTTTAGCAGTTTTGTTTTAAATAAAATCGTGTTATTTAACAGTAAATGGATATCGGTTTTCATATTTTGTTATTTATCGTAATTTTGTTTTTGATAAATGAAAATAAAAAGCATTCCCTAAAAATAAGCCCTAGTGTTATTTTATGAAAGAAAATTTGAAGTAAAACACTGTCTTATTTTCGGGGAACCACGGTATAACTCACAAATTTAAATTACATGACGTTTAATACGAAAAGGGCTATCCAACGTTTTGTCACATTTGTGTTGTTTATGTTAGGATTTTTTGTGTGTTTTAGCCATAAAAAATCAAATTGATTTGCAATTAATGAAGCTTTCAATTTCAAATACACAGCACTTGTAAAACACTGAAAAGTCGCGAGAGTTCTGCGAGACCCGATTTTTCATCCCCAAATTTTGCTTTTTATAGATCCAATCTTTCATTTTATATTTTATTGCTATATTCAATTACAATTAGTTCACACAAAATAACCAAAAGAAATTTTGAAGCATGAAAGCAAACCGGCGTGGCATATTGTTTGCATTTATTGTTAATGCCTGTTACATTTAAAGTTAGCATCATTAAGTTACATTTAAAATAACATCACGTAGCAAAATCTCTATAACTCATAATATGCAATCCTCTGGCACACTTCATGATTATCTAGCTAGATATTAAGCAAAGATTTGGTATTTCGCAAATTTGCACAACTATCGCGCAATTCCATAGCAGCAATCAACTTTGAGTAAATCGACTTATAAACCAAGTTTACACAATCGCAGAATTAAAGCTTTGTTTAGTTTTTCAATTGCCGCTACCTTCCCGGTCCTCTGAACAAATCATGAACGTTATATTATATGCAACAAAAACTATTGAAATTTATTTTATTATTAAATTTTATTGAAATTGCCCCTCAGGTCCGCCAGATGGGTGAAAACCACTATGGAAATAATTCCTGTTGCACTTTGCCTGAACGTGAATATTATATATATATATATATGGCTCTCATGAAAATAAACTAGTTGAGATCAAGATCATATTTCAACCCAGCATAACTTCAATGCAGAAAAAACTTGAGAACTGTTGAGTATTTTGTAACGCTTCTAACATGAGATTGAATGATTACGTTTTTGTCCGCCAGAGAAGCAATAATAGCATAAACGAGTCCAATAAATCCTACTCGATTTTCAGCTTCAACCACCAGTGAGGTAACATTTATATTTGTCAAATCCAGTGCGTAAAAATTTTAAAATAACATTTTTCGAGTATTGAAAACAGTCGCACATTATGCATATATGTTAATATAGATACCCCAATCGCCAATTTAAATCAGGTCATTTCGCCCTGTTGCACGCATTGAGTTGTTTTAACATGTCCATCCATCCGCGTGGGTATGACTCGTAAAATGAGGGCATGCTAGAATAACGTTGAGAATGTTAATGCAAAATATTGAGATTGGATATTTCATTTAGCAAGGCTTATACTGATCCCAAATTATATTAGTTGACAAAATTATAACTGATATTTGATCGTGTTAAAAAAGGCAAAAAAAAACAGAATTTTATTTTGAAAATATTGTCAGAGGAGGGAAAATATACGTTTTAACAGCTTATAATAAATCTCGTAAAAGTTCGCTAACCTGTGAAAGAATAAGATAATATTATGTTAAGCACTCAAACGTACGTAACTAATTATTATGATTTACGCCTGATATTGATAAAACTAAGTAATTACATGTTTCTAAAAAATTAAAAAATTTAAGTTTGTAAAACACAATACCAAATGTAAAATACTCTAAAAATAAAAAATTACAATAAATATAATATGTTGTTTAATCATCAGTGAAAAATAATGTATTAATACACGATCAATACTGAAATGTCATTAAATTCAATATTATTACATTAATGTTATTGAAGTGAACAAGGTCGACAAAAAAAAAACACAAGTTACATAGTTATGATTAACAACTTAGAGCAGGGCCTAGAGAACTACCCTACAGCAAAATTGCACGGAATTTAAAGATAAAGAGATAATTATAAATCAGTACAAGTTTTTAAAGTTGTTTCATTTTTCATAAGTTGTTGGATAAACAAAATAACGAAAGATCACCGAAAGTTGGATTAGGGGTCAATTGGATCTCGATGCTTGCGGATAACAAGCAGACACAAGGTTCTCAATGTAACTTCTGTTAGTTTTTTATCGATAATTTTTGTTAGAAAATTAAAACTTGAATTTATTTTACAACACTTTTTTTCTCCGAGTACTAGGAAACCAGCGGGCAGTAGGGTGACAAAACTGCCCCAATCTATGTGAGGTGACTAAGAGTTCTGAAATGAAACGAAAAATATTTGAATAAACCTATCTTGGCTACATTAATTGAAGTGCTTTGATCTTTAAACATTCAAACTTTGAATCAAAATGAATATGCAAATTAGTACCAGAACCAAACAAAATGAAAAGCGTAAACTCGATAAGCAAGGACCACAGGCATAGCTTTCCGCCAGTCCATTTGAATATATTAATACTACTGATTACACTAAAAATGAATAGTTCTATTAAGACATCATGTGATTTAACTTGTGTATTTCCAATAAACATTTTGGGATCCATATGACTTTGAATAAACAAATAGGGGTTCATGTTGGGAAGCTTAGAGGAACAATCTTCTCTCACTGATGGTTGGCAATTAAAGATACGCAACAAGACTACAAATCATAAACATAAAATTATTACATTAAATTGATAAATGCCTCACATTGTCATGTGTAAAATATAAATAATAATAATAATAAAAATTCATATATAGAGTTTTATATAAAAAAAAATAACATTTGGCGATACATGTTTTAAAACTTGCACTCTATGCGAAGTTCAAATGTAAAACGATTCAGAAATATAACATGCATTATACTCGGTCAATAAACGCATAAAACTTGTGGTCGAGCTTGACTTGAGCAAAATTCGAAAATATGACTATAAAAGCATAGAATATATGAGTAAGTACCAGCAGTTTATTAAATTTCGTTCGAACAATAATTCTTAAATTTGAGTTTTCCCACGTACTAACGTCGTATATTTATCTGGTTCGTAGATTATTGAAATATGCTAAATAACGCAAAATGGGCTTCTGTATCGGGAATTTTTATGGTAACATATCTAAAATATATTTTCACATTTGACCGTAAAATACATGGCGACATTTCTGAATAAAAATGGAAACAAATATAAACCAGAAGTAATAAAATTAAAAATAAAAACAATATAGATGAATGGAATGATTGAATAAAATATTGCTAATAACTAAAATTAATCTTCGTTGCTCAAGTCCTCGTCGATGTAAGATCTGAAAATGTAATAACATAAGCTAAAATTAATTTTTAATTGAATTCAAATAGTACAGAGAAATAGCGAAAAGAATACGCAAAATGCTGCAATTCACTTAACCAACTGTAAAGGAAAAATTTGTAAAAGTTCATTGTATTTGTACCTTCGTTGATATTGTAAGATTCTCCCTCGTCCTCTTGGCTCGTGTATGGTCTTTCTTCTTAATGAATCCAATCTCTTTTCCTTGTCAACGTAAAAGATATTGCCATTCACCAAATATTTCTGATGACATATTGTATCCTGAGTGCGTAGGCATGCGAACTTCATCAGGAACATATAGAAAATAAAAACAGTTTTGAATAAAAATATTACAACATTAAATCCAACTCAAATAATAGTTTCAATGTATTTCGTGAATGAGTTCTAAAGATGACGTCAGATTGACTTCAGTTTTATATCAAAGGCGACTGCTGTCAAGACAATTTGAAACAAATTTAACAATCAGGCTTATATTAATTTACCACAATTTCTTGAAAATACCCCTTTCCGTGAGATAATCGCACCTTTTCTTTAATTTCCAATGTCCACGACGAATCTTCTGAATCAAAAACAGATGTTTCTGAAAACAAACGCCTTCCGTTGATCTTCCACAACTGAAAAAATATTCTTATATATAAATAAATATTTTTTTACGTAAGTAAATAGGTTTGAAATGATAAATCTGGAAAAAATACCTGTTGGCGAATCGCGTCTGACCAACTGATCCCAATCTTCTTTGCGTCTTCTTCGTCAGAACACATAGTAGATTGCACTAAAATAATGTGGAAACATGTTATATTTGGCTAAATTTGTTAGATTCTTCATTCTAGAGAAAGTAAAATGATAATAAGATAACCCAAAATACATGAAATCACATAAGCCTGTATTCAAGTATTCTCAAGAAAGTTTTGTTACTTGGCCCGCCTTACATCTCTGAATTCAATCAAAGGCGATTATTTAGTATATACCTCTACGGTGTATTTCCAGCTTTTCTTTTGTGTTTATTTCCGCGCTGCTGTCTTTGTCTTCTAATCTATCTCTCATTCGGTCTGCCTCTGCCTTTAACACCTTCCTTGCATCCTCAATCACCTGCTCAATCATTTCCTTCACCATCTCCATATCAATGACCATGACGTGATCACGATTTCCTTCATCTGCCAAAACATTCAATTCCGTCACATTATCCTCAACTGATTTACTTACCTCAATAACTTCTTCGCCATCTTCATCCTCTGATGAAAACTTAGAACAAGGGCAACCCATGTCACGATTTAATAACTATGTTATTTTAAAACTAGAAGTACTTAGTATTAAATCTAAAAAATATAGTGTTAAAGGCAGTTAGGACCATTGCGTAAGCAAGTATAGATTGGTGATATGTACGGTACGACAATGACTGGTCGCCATATTCAACATTTCATTTGATCCTTGTCATCTTCCGATATTGATAAAATTGCTCCAAAATTAAGACACAGTTCGAACTAATGATGAACTTAGGTTTTCACTGCTGCCGGCACTACCAGTAATTTTAATTTGAAACAAAACTTAGATTTAAAACTTTACCCAGGGAATTACAAGATTGTAAGAGCTAAATAAAAGTCATTCATCATTCATTCTCCAAATCCAGGTTCTACAAAGTTGAAACGTCATCCTGCTGCCGAAAATCAACCTGCTGCCGCCGGATAAAAGTGAATCGCAAAATCCGATTGCTCAGGTCTCCAAGGAGATGGTATCCATCGCAACTTTATCAAATTCATTGTTACGTAATATTGATCATTCGGGTCAAAGTTCAAGATTCTGGTTGATTTGTCATGAAAACAAACCTATTCAATGAACATTTATGTAATATAAAACATCGTAATAAATTAAATTGAAAAATTCTACAAATAAATGTGTTTGTCACAATTTGCATCATAATTTTTGCAAGAGCTACCGCGTTATTAGCCAATCATAAACGTTGCATTATAAGTTGTCATGCAGGATTATTATGGCGTCATATACAGTCTAACCATAGATTTATGTTATGCATTGTCCCTGGTCTAACTATCGATCAAGGAATACTAAACATTTTGAAGTAGTGGTGCGGGAATGTGTCTCATACGTGGTACATTAAATCTAGCAAACAATGCGAATGCCATACATACTGTCCGTAACCAAATAATAGTATTTCAATACCAGTTTTTTAAACCAGCTGAAAAATACATTGCGCCGCATATAGCAAAATTTTTCCCCAAATCCTATGAATCCCAAAACATTTCCGAAATATCGCGTTTTCCCGAAAATAAGACCCAAACTGAACTTTCAGAATGATATTAATATCAGCCCTCCTCTTAAAATAAGACCTAGTGGCCTAGTCGAGAGCACGAAATTGAATTTGAAAATTTATGAGTCTAATGACTTGCAAGACATTCCAGAGAATGATGATATTGTCATTTTTGAATAATCTATGTTTAGCAGTTTTGTTTTAAATAAAATCGTGTTATTTAACAGTAAATGGATATCGGTTTTCATATTTTGTTATTTATCGTAATTTTGTTTTTGATAAATGAAAATAAAAAGCATTCCCTAAAAATAAGCCCTAGTGTTATTTTATGAAAGAAAATTTGAAGTAAAACACTGTCTTATTTTCGGGGAACCACGGTATAACTCACAAATTTAAATTACATGACGTTTAATACGAAAAGGGCTATCCAACGTTTTGTCACATTTGTGTTGTTTATGTTAGGATTTTTTGTGTGTTTTAGCCATAAAAAATCAAATTGATTTGCAATTAATGAAGCTTTCAATTTCAAATACACAGCACTTGTAAAACACTGAAAAGTCGCGAGAGTTCTGCGAGACCCGATTTTTCATCCCCAAATTTTGCTTTTTATAGATCCAATCTTTCATTTTATATTTTATTGCTATATTCAATTACAATTAGTTCACACAAAATAACCAAAAGAAATTTTGAAGCATGAAAGCAAACCGGCGTGGCATATTGTTTGCATTTATTGTTAATGCCTGTTACATTTAAAGTTAGCATCATTAAGTTACATTTAAAATAACATCACGTAGCAAAATCTCTATAACTCATAATATGCAATCCTCTGGCACACTTCATGATTATCTAGCTAGATATTAAGCAAAGATTTGGTATTTCGCAAATTTGCACAACTATCGCGCAATTCCATAGCAGCAATCAACTTTGAGTAAATCGACTTATAAACCAAGTTTACACAATCGCAGAATTAAAGCTTTGTTTAGTTTTTCAATTGCCGCTACCTTCCCGGTCCTCTGAACAAATCATGAACGTTATATTATATGCAACAAAAACTATTGAAATTTATTTTATTATTAAATTTTATTGAAATTGCCCCTCAGGTCCGCCAGATGGGTGAAAACCACTATGGAAATAATTCCTGTTGCACTTTGCCTGAACGTGAATATTATATATATATATATATGGCTCTCATGAAAATAAACTAGTTGAGATCAAGATCATATTTCAACCCAGCATAACTTCAATGCAGAAAAAACTTGAGAATTGTTGAGTATTTTGTAACGCTTCTAACATGAGATTGAATGATTACGTTTTTGTCCGCCAGAGAAGCAATAATAGCATAAACGAGTCCAATAAATCCTACTCGATTTTCAGCTTCAACCACCAGTGAGGTAACATTTATATTTGTCAAATCCAGTGCGTAAAAATTTTAAAATAACATTTTTCGAGTATTGAAAACAGTCGCACATTATGCATATATGTTAATATAGATACCCCAATCGCCAATTTAAATCAGGTCATTTCGCCCTGTTGCACGCATTGAGTTGTTTTAACATGTCCATCCATCCGCGTGGGTATGACTCGTAAAATGAGGGCATGCTAGAATAACGTTGAGAATGTTAATGCAAAATATTGAGATTGGATATTTCATTTAGCAAGGCTTATACTGATCCCAAATTATATTAGTTGACAAAATTATAACTGATATTTGATCGTGTTAAAAAAGGCAAAAAAAAACAGAATTTTATTTTGAAAATATTGTCAGAGGAGGGAAAATATACGTTTTAACAGCTTATAATAAATCTCGTAAAAGTTCGCTAACCTGTGAAATTTGAAAACCACTGCTCATTGCGATATATTCGATACCGCTTTAATCTTTAGTAATATGCAGAAACGCGAGTGTGCTATGATGTTATCAAGTCACTCCAACTATTTAATATATATACTTTAGGTGCAACTGAAAAAGTGAGACGTACATACTCTACACAGCATTATCATAGAATAATTTTGATAAGGCTTAGAGGAAGAAAGTGGAATAAACATGAGTGAGATTGTATATTCATACAGCCCGCAAACTCTAAAATCTATTTTGCAACTGCATTGGAACTTAATTGATTTTTAACAAAGAATTGTGTCTAAGGAAACTTTTATATAATGGGATAAATATGTGATTGGTTTTAAAGTTCCCAAAGTTATTTCTCATCGAATATTAGAATGATTAAACAGTAAATATTGAAAATTTTAATATCAACATTTGATGGTTGCAACCTCTCTTGTAGGAAACTAAGGAAATGGAGATCACTTTTACTGTAGTTGTTGTTTTGCTTACATTTACGATGTCAATTAGCAGAACAGGTGAGTGAATTTTTATACTTTTGCATGGTATTCTATCAATGATAAATTTATATAATTCAATTCTCGATCTTTCATTTACCTATTTATACATGTAGATGGAATCTGCGTCCACAAGTGGAAAAACGGTCGTTTCGTATCCGAAGGTTTTTGTGAAGATCCTGATGAAGAAGGTTAATATTCTCAAAATTATATTAAAAATTTCTATTTCGATTCTACAATTATCGCCTCATTTTTTCGATCCTCAATATAATTTGCTCATTTTCTTTATTATTTGTAAACGACTTATTCTTAACAATTTGATAGAACCAGAACTTAAAGTTTAGACACGAGTTCAAAAGTAATGTAGTAAAATATAGTCTATAAATAAGCTGTAATGAACAAGTAAAGTTTCGGAATAATTTCATCTGTTTTTTCCCGAACTTATATTTGTGTTGATATATATGTTTTTGCTATTTTCCTTTTTTTTAATACATTTTTATTGTTTTACAGAAATAATTAGTCACCTAAAACTAAGAGCTGCATCTGCTAAGAGAAGAGGTAGTTTTGAAAAATGAATCGTTTGAAAATTCTGGTTGCTGTTTAAACAATAAACTAATTTACTTTTCAACCACTTCATGAATCGCTTTCAAATTGTCTGTAGTTGAAGATAAATTTGTTTCCCAGAAATCAAATTCTGTTATAATTTTTTCGTCGTTCCTAGTTTTTCTGGTCTCGCTTTGCCCCGTTTTATAATCCTATATTTCCAATATGAAACATTATACCCACGCGTAATTTTTTTAGAGTATAAGTCGCTTCATAAAAATATATATACGCACACATTCCTCTTTTGTTATCGCTCTGAAATTAGTTTATGAAGACAAGCATTAACAGTATTTGAATCTTTGTTTATATATACATACTTTTAATTTTCTTCCTAGATAAAGGTTCGTATTGTGATAAGTTATTTCAAAGAGATGCAAAAATATGGAATGGAACTGGCGGGGTTTTCGAGGGTGATGACATCTTTGGGAAAAAAGATGTTTATTGTGACCAAACCACTGATGGAGGAGGATGGCTGGTATGTATATTCTATATAAATTTCAGGAGAACAACAAGTAAAGAAGTTATATATTAATTTGAAATAGTAATTTGGACATATGAGACATTTTACCTAATCAACGACAAACAAAATGTTGTAGAAAAGGACAAGATTGATTTTAAAAACACCCTTTACAGACTTTACAAACCGATCATTTTAAATGTATATATGCTAAAAGTAATAAAGGGTACTTGTGGCTCGTTCTAATATTATCCTGCTAAGACATACTTTATATGCTTAATAGAGTATGTAATCATGCACTTCATTTCATTAGGTGTTTCAACGTCGAATGAATGGCTTAGTCAATTTCTATCGTGATTGGAATGATTACGTAAATGGATTCGGGGAAACGCCGAGTGAGCATTGGCTTGGTATGATAGCATTGTACAGCTTAAACAAATTCTGAATCACTGTTTAGGTCTAGACCAGGGATGGCGAACAACTGACCAGTCAGGTCACAAAGTGCCCACCATGTGTTTTCGGTGACCCACCAAGTCACATATTAATGCAAAAAACATGATAACATATCTCTGTGACAAAAATCGAACGTAATAAATTAATGAAATGCGTTGAAAGCAAATCTAGGTGCATTTTATAAAACAACTGGAGATTGTGTGCACGAGTGTTTGAAGTTTCTGGAAGGCGATACGGATTGAAAGTTTGAAAAACTTAGACCCAGATATTGATTTCATCATGCACAATAAAATTTCGACATCTCCACAGCTTACTCCACACAAGCGCCTTGCGTTTTCATATATTTATAGAATCGGTAACATTGTAACTGAAACAAACCTTTTGTATAGTGGTAGTAAATTAATTAATGAATAAATACAATGCTCTACTCATAGCTTAGAAATTGGATTGCGGCAGTAAACATATGACAAGATATTGTTTTTGTATGTATGTCTTGATAAATTTTATCACTTCTTGTAGGTCTCGAAACTTTGCATCAATTAACTTCTTCCAACAGCTACGAACTATTGATTGACATGGAGGATTGGGAAGGAAATAAACGCTACGCAAGATATTCGTGAGTTATGAATTTATTGATTAAAATTGCGTTAACTAATACGTATTTCTACTTAATCATGCCTATTAAACATTTTACACTTTTTGGGATCTATTTGAAACTGCACTTTACAAACAGACAGTAATTGGAATAATTGATAGATTTTTATAAATTAAATACATCAAAAGATATGGGTGAAAGAACATTTTGAACGTTTTTTAAAACTATTTGGGTTTGTCTACCCAAATAGATAAGTTATTTGTCCAATAATTAATTTTTAACTAGTCCAAAAGCAGTTTGTTTATAAGTGAGGTTTTCGATACAATAGAAAGTCTACCAACGTTTATACTAGCTTTCACATGGATGTGGCGATAGATTCCCGGGTAAATTGAATATTTTCCACATCCAGGAACTTTCGAGTAGCAAATGCGGCATCATATTATACTCTCTACGTAAGTGGATACTCGGGGAATGCTGGTGATTCATTTTGTCGACACAATGGATCCAATTTCACTACGAAAGATAGAGATTACGATGACCACGTTGGCAATTGTGCAGTGTTGTATAAAGGAGCCTGGTGGTACAGTGCGTGCCATTCTTCCAACCTCAACGGCCATTACTTCGTAGGAGGAAATCATGATTCTTACGCTGATGGTGTGGAATGGAGTGCTTGGAAAGGCCATTATTATTCACTTAAATTCATAGAAATGAAAATAAGAATAAAAATTTAGTTTTACTGCAAAATACGCTTTTATATTACGTCTATTACCATAATATGTTGTTGGTAAAGTGACTAGCTATAGCTGTCACATTGTTTAATGATATAAACTAAATACAAAAAAGTTGTGGAATATTTGAGGGAAAAGTTTGAAGTTTCAGATATATTTTTCCTACTACAGTTTTTAAATGGCCTATTTTAAAAAGTAGTGTATATTCTAGTTTAAATAAAATAAAACATTCCAATACATGGGTCATCGTGTTTCAAAATATATTTTTCATGCTATGCATTGTACTAGTCGAGTTTATCGAACATTGAAATAAATATCATTGCTGTAATTGTTATGTAACGTTATGCATTGAATCAATAACATCTCCGGATAATTTAACTTTCAAAGATGTGAATTTATTTCAGAATTTATATACCTGCTTCTGAGGATTTACCAATTAAAAGGATTGTTCATTGTAAACATGTTTCAACCTTAAAATGTTCGAATTATATGCGTTGTATTGAAAATTTCTGCTTGTCGTTATAAATATATTTGCTGATATCATTTGTACATTTTGCGATAAAATACACGAACAGGCATTTTGGATTCCAAAGATGTCAATTTTTGTTTGGCTTGATGGTATTGAATTGCATATCAAAATACTAAAAATTTCGAAGTCTGTTGAAACTAAATATTTACTTCTCAAGTTATGAATTATAACAATCATTTGTCACAGACGCTTGGAAGAATAATACTGTTTTATTGCTTTAATAAAGTAAGCATGAACAAAATTAAAGGTATGCATAATGCATCAAACCCAAAAGTTATACTGTATAGTACAATGTAATAGTCAAATACTGCTACAACAGTTAACATGTTCTCTACAATATATAAATGATGATAAGAAATATTTCAATTTAAACAACTTCTTCACAAGATTCCTAATTATTCAACCACAAGATAGATATCTCTGGGAGTCAGTGGAATAATAAACAGATTCTCAGGGAAATCGTTCAAAACAAATGTAAGGCGTGAAAAAACTATGAGGAAATCAATAATGTTAAAAAATGACCATGTATAAAATGCTTTTACATGTCTGTATAGAAATTATTAAAAAAGAATTAGAAATTGTAAGTAAAAAAATGAAACGGCGTGGATAAATAAAAATCGATATATCGCATTAAATAAAGAAAAAACAAAAAAAAATAAACATTGAGTAAAAAAATGGTTTTAATCTTCTTTGCTCAAGTCCTCATTGATGTAAGATCTGAAAATGAAAAAAACATGGGCTAATATGAATTTATTGAATTCCAAAATTACAGTCGAATGAAGAAGTGGAAAATACGCAAAATGATGTAATTTATCAAACCAACTGCAAAGATGAAGTTCATGAAAATTGTTTATATTTGTACCTTTGTTGATATTTTCCGTCGTCCTCTTGGCTCGTGAATGGTCCTTCTTCTCAATGAATCCAATCTTTTTTCCTTGTTAACGTAAAAGGTAATGCCATTCACCAAATATTTCACATGACATAATGTGTCTTGAGAACGTAGGCATGCGATCTTCATTGAAAAAAATAAAAAAAATAAAAATAGCTTTGAATTAAAAAATTACCTACTCAAATTCAGCTCAAATACCAGTTTGAATGCATTTTGAATGAATGAGTAGTAAAGATGACGTCAGATTGACTTCAGTTTTATATCAAAGGCGACTGCTGACATGACAATTCAAAGCAAAAGTTTTCAACAAAGCATATATTAATTTACTACGATCTTTTGGAAGAATTTCTTTTTAAGTGAAAATCGCACCTTTTCTTTAATTTCCAATGTCCACCGCGAATCTTCTGAGTCAAAAACAGATGTTTCCGAAATAAACGTCCTCCGTTGATTTTCTGCGATGGTGAAAAATTATTCTAGATTTTAGTGATAATTTTTGTATATAAGAAGGTAGATTGAAAATATTAAATCTGGAAAAAATACATGTTGGCGAATCGCATCTGGTTAACTGATCCCGATAATCTTTGCGTCACGTTCGTCATAACACGCAGTAGATTGCACTAAAATAATATTAAAGCACATATATTATGCTTGCGTAAATTCAATAAGTGTAAAAAAGTAAAATGGAAATATATCATCTAAAATTGAAAAATCACGTATATTCTGGATAAAGCTTTATTTCTTGACCAGATGAAAATTCTCTAAAACCAATTAATATACATTATGTATATACCTCTGTCTTCTAATATCTCTCTCTTCACATTGACCATCTCATCAGTATCACATTTTCCTGTACTCGACATCATCTTCATTTTCTCGCAATCACTTTGAACATGGACAACCCATGACTTAATTGAAGCACTAAGTTTAGAATTGGCAGCAATACGGTTTGAATCAAAATTAAACCTAAAAAAAATAGGTAGGAACAAGCATTAGTTACATAGTTCATAAATTTGGCTGATGATTTTGGCACGACGGTCAAACAAATTTGGGAAACACTGAGCTGTAGGAAGGATTGCAATGTGACACATTTGGATTTCCCATGGGACACGAAAACTCTATGATTTTCGGGCAAATGATGGTAAATAAATTTCATATATATTTAAGCATAGCCCTCTTGTTACTTATAAAGAGCAAGATATATATAAACAGCATTACCAATATACTTCGTGAAGGGGCTGATGGACACATGTTTAATAGTTATGAATATAAAGTTAACAAACTCCTCGTTGTTTTGAATGTCTCTTCGTACATGTAGCTCTATTTAGAACACGCTAAACTTAAACTTAGCAATTTTTATTGAATTTTATTCTTATGGGATTCCCATGGGATGGGATGGGAATGGGACAAAAATATATGTCCCATGGACAAACCTGCCGATAATTATCAAAGAATAAGGTGATATCATGTAAAACATATGCACTCAAACATACGTAACTAATTATGATTCATGCCTGATATTGATGGAACTTCATTTAATTGCAATTTTTTATAGAATTAAAACTTTTGAGTTTCTAAATACAATAAAAAAACATAAAAAATTCTAAAATAATAAATAACAATATATTAAATTTGTTGTTCAATCATTATTGAAAGATAAAAAGGCATCAGAAACATATTGTGTTATTATACGATAAATATTTCAATAAAATGACATTAAATTTGATAGTATTGCATTGTAGATGAAGTGAACAAGGTTGACAGTAAACACAAACACAAATTATATTGAAAGATGCCGTATTCAAACTGTTTGTCATTTACAGAATTTCTCCAATCAAATAATTCGACTTCTAGAAATCAATTTCGTAAAACGCAACAAATTGAAGTTATTTGTTGAAATATAAGTTTCAAATCTTATTATTAATTAATGACGATTCCAGGATAGAATCAATTACAATGGCATAATATAACTCTTATAAGAAGCAATTGTCGAATACAAGCAATTCACAAAACCATTTAAACTAGATTCCTCAATTTTATTTATGTACCAAGTAATGATTTACAACTCAGAACAGGGCTTCCCAACGGTGTCCAGGTGAAGCCCCATGGGTCTACAGCATAATTGCAGGGGGTTCACAGATAAAGTGCTAAATAAAATAAATGAGTACATTTCATTAAAGTTGTTGCATTTTTCATATGTTGTTGAATAAACTGAAATAAACGAGAGAGCACCCAAAGCTAGATTAGTGTTCAATTGGATTTCGATGCTTGCGGATAACAAGCAGCCACATGGTTCTCAATGTAACTTCTGTTAGTTTTTTTTACCAATAAATTTTGTTAGAGAATTGAAAACTTGAATATATTTAATAAAGACTATTTGTTTTGGGTACTAGGAAACGCACGGACAGCCGGGGGACAAAACTGCACCAATCTATGTGAGGTGTCTTAGGGTTTTGAATTGAAATGGAAAATAATTGAATAAATCTATCTTAGCTACACTAAGTAAAGTGCTTTGATTATAGAATATTTAAAATTGGAATCGAAATTAATATGCAAACTTAGTACCAGAACCAAACAAAATGAAAGGCTTAAACGCAACAAGCAAGGACCACAGGCATACCTTCCCGTCAGTCCAATCAAATATGGTAATAATACTGATTACATTAAAACTGAATAGTTCTATCAAGACAGCAAGTGATTTAACTTGGATATCTCCAATAAACACTTGTGGGTCCATACGTCTAAAAAAAAAAATAGAGGTCCACGGAGAAAAAGGTTGGAAAGCCCTGACTTAGAGGAACAATCTTCTCTCACTGATAATTGGCAAATAACTCAGGAACACAATACTTAACCAAATTTGAATATACATTAAAGATACGCAACAAGACTACAAAATATAAACATAAAATCTTCACATAAAATTGATAAATGCCTCACATTGTCAGGTGTAAAAAATAAAAATAAATAATAATAAAAATTCAAGTCACGCAACATATTTGAACGCGATTAAAATCATTTGAACGTTTTATTAAAAAAAAATACCAATTGGCGATACATGTTTTAAAACTTTTTTTATTTGTAAAGCACTCTATGCGGAGTTCAAATGTAAAACGATTCAAAAATGTAGCATGCATTGCACTCAGTCAATAAACGCATAAAAATTATATGAATAAATAAACATAGAATATATGAGTAACTACCAGCAGTTTATTAAATTTCGTACGAACATTAATTCTTAAATTTGAGTTTACCAACGTACTTAACGTCGTATATTTATCTGGTTATAGATTATTGAAATATGCTAAATAACGCAATATGGGCTTCTGTATCGGGAATTTTTATGGTAACATATCTAAATTATATTTTTACATTTGACCGAATGAAATACACGGCGACATTTCTGAATAAAAATGGAAACAAATATACACCAGAAATAATAAAATTGAAACAGAATAGATGAATGAAATAATTGAATAAAATATTGCTAATAACTAAAAATAGTCTTCGTTGCTCAAGTCCTCGTCGATGTAAGATCTGAAAATGTAATAACATAAGCTAAAATAAATTTTTAATTGAATTCAAATAGTACAATGAGATAGCGAAATGAATACGCAAAATGCTGCAATTCACTTAACCAACTGCAAAGGAAAGATTCATGAAAGTTCATTGTATTTGTACCTTCGTTGATATTGTAGGATTCTCCCTTTTCCTCTTGGCTCGTGTATGGTCTTTCTTCTTAATGAATCCAATCTCTTTTCCATGTCAACGTAAAAGATATTGCCATTCACCAAATATTTCCGATGACATATTGTATCCTGAGTGCGTAGGCATGCGAGCTTCATCAGGAACATATAGAAAATAAAAACAGTCTTGAATAAAAATATTACAACATTAAATTCAACTCATATATTAGTTTCAATGCATTTCGTGATTGAGTTCTAAAGATGACGTCAGATTGACTTCAGTTTTATATCAAAGGCGACTGCTGTCAAGAAAATTTAAAACAAATTTAACAATCAGGCTTATATTAATTTACCACAATTTTTTGAAAATAACCCTTTCCATTTGATAATCGCACCTTTTCTTTAATTTCCAATGTCCACGACGAATCTTCTGAATCAAAAACAGATGTTTCCGAAAACAAACGTCCTCCGTTGATCTTCCACGACTGGAAAAATATTTTTATATTCAAGTAAATATTTTTTTATGTAAGTAAATAGGTTTGAAATGATAAATCTATAAAAAAAAATACCTGCTGGCGAATCGCGTCTGACCAACTGATCCCAATCTTCTTTGCGTCTTCTTCGTCAGAACACATAGTAGATTGCACTAAAATAATATGGAAACATGTTATATTTGGCTAAATTTGTTAGATATTTCATTCTAGAGAAAGTGAAATGATAATAAGATAACCCAAAATACATGAAATCACATAATATTGTATTCAAGTATTCTCAAGAAAGTTTTTGTTTCTTGGCCCGTCTCACATCTCTAAATTTAATCAGAGGCGATTATTTAGTATATACCTCTACGGTGTATTTCCAGATCTTCTTTTGTGTCCATTTCCGCGCTGCTGTCTTTGTCTTCTAATCTATCTCTCATTTGGTCTGCCTCTGTCTTTAACACCTTCCTTGCATCCTCAATCACCTGCTCAATCATTTCTTTCACCATTTCCATATCAATGACCATGACGTGATCACGAATTCCTTCATCTGCCAAAACATTCAATTCCGTCACATCATCCTCAGCTAATTTACTTACCTCAATAACTTCTTCGCCATCTTCATCCTCTGATGAAAACTTAGAACAAGGGCAACCCATGTCACAATATATTAACTATGTTACTTTAAAATTAGAGGTAGTTAGTATTAAATCTAAAAAATATAGTGACAAAGGCAATTAGGACCATTGCGTAAGCAAGTATAGATTGGTGAGATGCACGGTACGACAATGGCTGGTCGCCTTTTTCCACATTTTATTTGATCTTTGCCATCTTCCGATATTGATAAAATTTCTCCAAAATTAAGACACAGTTCGAATTAATGTTGAACTTAGGTCTCACTGCCGGCACTACCAGTAATTTTAACTTGAAACAAAACTTTAGTTTTTAGATTTAAAACTTTACCCGAGGAATTACAAGGCTGTAAGAGCTAAATAAAAGTCATTCATCGTTTATTCTCCAAATTCAGGTTCTACAAAGTTAAAACGTCACTCTGCTGCCGAAAATCAACCTGCTGCCGCCGGATAAAAGTAAATCGCAAAATCCGATTGCTCAGGTCTCCAAGGAGATGGTATCCATCGCAACTCCATCAAATTCATTGTTACGTAATATTGATCATTCGGGTCAAAGTTCAAGATTCTGGTTGATTTGTCATGAAAACAAACCTATTCAGTGAATATTTATGTAATATAAAACATCGTTCTAAATTAAATAGAAAAATCATACAAATAAATGTGTTTGTCACAATTTGCATCATAATTTTTGCAAGAGCTACCTCGTTATTAGCCAATCATAAACGTTGCATTATAAGTTGTCATGCAGGATTATTAAGGCGTCATATACAGTCTAACCAGAGCCATTATATAACGGCTATGGTCTAACCATAGATTTTACATAAAAATTATGTTATGCATTGTCTCTGGTCTAACTATCGATCAAGGAATACTAGACATTTTGAAGTAGTGGTGCGGGAATGTGTTCGCTCACATTACTTCGATCGTGAGCTCTCCGTCTCATACGTGGTACAATAAATCTAGCAAACAATGCGAATGCCATACATACTGTCCTCAACCAAATCATAGTATTTCAATACCAGTTTTTTAGACCAGCTGAGAAATACATTGCGCCGCATATAGCAAAATTTTTCCCCAAATCCTATGAATCCCAAAACATTTCCGAAATATCGCGTTTTCCCGAAAATAAGACCCAAACTGAACTTTCAGAATGATATTAATATCAGCCCTCCTCTTAAAATAAGACCTAGTGGCCTAGTCGAGAGCACGAAATTGAATTTGAAAATTTATGAGTCTAGTGACTTGCAAGACATTCCAGAAAATGATGATATGGTCATTTTTGAATAATCTATGTTTAGCAGTTTTGTTTTAAATAAAATCGTGTTATTTAACAGTAAATGGATATCGGTTTTCATATTTTGTTATTTATCGTAATTTTGTTTTTGATAAATGAAAATAAAAAGTATTCCCTGAAAATAAGCCCTAGTGTTATTTTATGAAAGAAAATTGAAGTAAAACACTGTCCTATTTTCGGGGAAACACGGTATAACTCACAAATTTGAATTACATGACGTTTAATACGAAAAGGGCTATCCAACGTTTTGTCACATTTGTGTTGTTTATGTTAGGATTTTTTGTGTGTTTTAGCCGTAAAAAATCAAATTGTTTTGCAATTAATGAAGCTTTCAATTTCAAATACACAGCACTTGTAAAACACTGAAAAGTCGCTACCAAGCTATTACTATTACACATTTTATGACTTTTTTTCTGAGTTCTGCGAGACCCGATTTGTCATCCCCAAATTTTGCTTTTTATAGATCAAATCTATCATTTTATATTTCATTGCTATATTCAATTACAATTAGTTCAAACAAAATAACCAAAAGAAATTTTGAAGCATAAAAGCAAACCGGCGTGGCATATTGTTTGCATTTATTGTTAATGCCTGTTACATTTAAAGTTAGCATCATTAAGTTACAAGTTACATTTAAAATAACATCACGTAGCAAAATCTCTATAACTCATAATATGCATCCTCTGGCACACTTCATGATTATCTAGCTAGATATTAAGCAAAGATTTGGTATTTCGCAAATTTGCACAACTATCGCGCAATTCCATAGCAGCAATCAACTTTGAGTAAATCGACTTATAAACCAAGTTTACACAATCACAGAATTAAAGCTTTGTTTAGTTTTTCAATTGCCGCTATTTTCCCGGGCTCTCTGAACAAATCATGAACGTTATATTATATGCAACAAAAACTATTGAAAAATATTTTATTATTAAATTTTATTGAAATTGCCCCTCAGGTCCGCCAGATGGGTGAAAACCACTATGGAAACAATTGCTGTTGCACTTTGCCTGAACGTGAATATTATATATATATATATGGCTCTCATGAAAATAAACTAGTTGAGATCAAGATCATATTTCAACCCAGCATAACTTCAATGCATAAAAAACTTGAGAATTGTTGAGTACTTTGTAACGCTTCTAACATGAGATTGAATGATTACGTTTTTGTCCGCCAGAGAAGCAATATTAGCATAAACGATTCCAATAAATCCTACTCGATTTTCAGCTCAACCACCAGTGAGGTAACATTAATATTTGTCAAATCCAGTGCGTAAAAATGAAAAATAACATTTTCCGAGTATTGAAAACAGTCGCATATTATGTATATATGTTAATATAGAAATGCCTTAAACCCCAATCGCCAATTTAAATCAGGTCAATTTGCCCTGTTGCACGCATTTGAGTTGTTTTAACATGTCCATCCATCCGCGTGGGTGTGACTCGTAAAATGAGGGCATGCTAGAATAACGTTGAGAATGTTAATGCAAAATATTGAGATTGGATATTTTATTTAGCAAGGCTTATACTGATCCCAAATTATATTAGTTGACAAAATTATAACTGATATTTGATCGTGTTAAAAAGGCAAAAAAAACAGAATTTTATTTTGAAAATATTGTCAGAGGAGGGAAAATATACGTTTAAACAGCTTATAATAAATCTCGTAAAAGTTCGCTAACCTGTGAAATTTGAAAACCACTGCTCATTGCGATATATGCGATACCGCTTTGATTTTTAGTAATATGCAGAAACGCGAGTGTGCTATGGTGTTATCGAGTCGCTCTAACTATTTAATATATATACTTGAAGTGCAACTAAAAAAGTGAGACGTACATACTCTACACAGCATTATCTTAGAATAATTTTGGTAATGCTTAGAGGAAGGAAGTGGAATAAACATGAGTGAGAGTGTATATATATATACCTAGTTTCATACAGCCCGCAAACTCTAAAATCTATCTTGCAACTGCATTGGAACTTAATTGATTTTGAACAAAGAATTGTGTCTAAGGAAACTTTTATATAATGGGATAAATATGTGATTGGTTTAAAAGTTCCCAAGGTTATTCTTCATCGAATATTAGAATGATTAAACAGTAAATATCAAAAATTTTAATATCAACATTAGATGGTTGCAACCTCTCTTGTAGGAAACTAAGGAAATGGAGATCACTTTCACTGTAGTTGTTGTTTTGCTTACATTTACGATGTCAATTAACAGAACAGGTAAGTGAAGTTTTATACTTTTGCATGTTATTCTATCAATGATAAATTCATATAATTCAATTCTCGATCTTTCATTTACCTATTTATACATGTAGATGGAATCTGCGTCCACAAGTGGAAAAACGGTCGTTTCGTATCCGAAGGTTTTTGTGAAAATCCTGATGAAGAAGGTTAAAATATTCTCAAATTTCTATTTCGATTCTACAATTATCGCCTCTTTTTTTCGATCCTCAATATAATTTGCCTTTTCCTTTTTTTATTGTAAACGACTTATTCGTAACAATTTGATAGAACCTGAACTTAAGTTTAGACACGAGTTCAAAAGTAATGTAGTAAAATATAGTATATAATTAAGCTGTAATGAACAAGTAAAGTTTCGGAATAATTTCATCTGGTTTTTCCCGAACTTATATTTGTGTTGATATATATGTTTTTGCTATTTTCCTTTTTTGTAATAAAATTTTTATTGTTTTACAGAAATTATTACTCACCTAAAACTAAGAGCTGCATCCGCTAAGAGGAGAGGTAGTTTTAAACAATGAATCGTTTGAAAATTCTGGTTGCTGATTAAACAATAAACTAATTTACTTTTTAACCACTTCATGAATCGCTTTCAAATTGTCTGTAGTTGGAGATAAATTTGTTTCCCAAAAATCAAATACTGTTATAATTTTTTCGTCGTTCCTCGTCTCTCTGGTCTGGCTTTGCCCCGTTTTATATGCCTATATTTCCAATATGAAACATTATACCCACGAGTAAATTTTTGCGAGTGTAAGTCGCTTCATAAATATATATATACGCACACATTCCTCTTTTGTTATCGCTCTGAAATTAGTTTATGAAGACAAGCATTAACAGTATTTGAATCTTTGTTTATATATACATACTTTTAATTTTCTTCCTAGATAAAGGTTCGTATTGTGATAAGTTATTTCAAAGAGATGCAAAAATATGGAATGAAACTGGCGGGGTTTTCGAGGGTGATGACATCTTTGGGAAAAAAGATGTTTATTGTGACCAAACCACTGATGGAGGAGGATGGCTGGTATGTATATTCTATATAAATTTTAGGGAAATATCAAGTGAAAACAGTTATATATCAATACTAAATTGTAATTTGGATATATGAGACATTCTACCTATATAACGACAAACAAAATGTTGTAGGAGGGGACACGATTGACTTGTGTTTACAAACTTTCCCACCTGATAATTGTGAATGTATGCTATATAAGTAATAAAATGTTCTTGTTCTAATATTATCCTACTAAGACATCTGCATAATAAGGTAATCATGTACTTCGGGGAAACGCCGAGTGAGCATTGGCTTGGTATGATAGCATTGTACAGCTTAAACAAATTTTGAATCACTGTTTCGCCGTAGACCAGGGTTGGCGAACAACTGATCCGCCGGTCATGAAGGGACTCACCAAGCACCACTTTAATGCAAAAAAACGTACTAACATATCTGTGATAAAAATCAAACTTGATAAATTGAACGTCTCGCGTGAAATAATACAATTCTCTACTCATAGCATAGAAATCGGATTACTAAAGTAAACATCCGACAATATATCATTTTATATGTATGTTTTGATAAATTTAACTCTTGTAGGTCTTGAAATTTTGCATCAATTAACTTCTTCCAACAGCTACGAACTGTTGATTAACATGAAGGATTGGGAAGGAAATAAACGCTACGCAAGATACTCGTGAGTTTATCGATTAAATATTGCATTGACTAATACATATTTCTATTTCATCATGCCTATTAAACATTTTACACTCATTGGAATCTATTTGAATCACCACTTTACAAACAGACAGTAATTGATAGATGTGGGTGAAAGAACATTATAAACGTTTCTAAATCTATATAATATATGGGTGTGTCTTACGTAATAGTTAATTGTTATTTGTTCGATCGTAAATTTATAACTAGTCCAACAGCAGTTTATATGTGAAATTTTCTGATACAATAGAAAAGACTTTCAATGTTTGAACTAGTTTTTATATAGGAGTGGTGATAAATTTGCCGATACTTGGGTAGATTGAATGTTTTTTAAATTCAGGAACTTTCAGGTAGGAAACGCAGCATCCCATTACATCCTCTACGTGAGTGGATACTCAGGAAATGCTGGTGATTCATTTTCTTCACACAATGGATTCTATTTCAGTACAAAAGATAGAGATAATGACAATAGCGGTGTCAATTGTGCAATGTTGTATAAAGGAGCCTGGTGGTACAGATCGTGTCATTCTTCCAACCTTAACGGCCATTATTTTATTGGAGGAAATCATGATTCTTACGCTGATGGCATAGAATGGGAAACCTGGAAAGGATTTTATTATTCACTGAAATTTACAGAAATGAAAATAAGAATAAAGTTGTGAATTTATACTACCTCATAATATGACTTTTAACAGAAGCTTGTCCAAAGTCATTGGTATGCAGTGCCACGTTAGATAATGATACCAGAAAACAAGAGAGCCATGCTCAAATATATGAACACGTAGCGCCACATAGTGGCAAATTCTGGTGATGTCATGGCGAACAAAAAAACGAATCTCATTCAGCTCCCCCGAATATTTAAAATAAATAAAGGTAATAGCCTTCTAGCGAAAAATTTAATCTTTGAGCACTGAAGCGATTGGTCCACTAGTCAAGGAGAAAAGCGATTTTTTTCTGTGACAAAAAACAACAGCAACAACATAATAACAAAACGTTATGTCCACTAACGTGTTCAATAAATAAAATCATTCAATATATATTATAGAAAAATAAACAGAATTTCAGAAATTTTCTCCTATCTCCATTAGTCATAACCAATAACTTGTATACATATTTTCTATTTATCTGACAATTGAAATGTAGCCTATCTTTATATATATCTCACGAGGTGATAAGATTGTAACGCCGTGTGAGGTACGGGACACAAATGTGAAGTACTTGGATGCAGCGGACATTTAGGGTATATTATTCATACATGAACAAAACGAAAGAAAATCAATCGTTTCCTTAATTACTTTGTAGCCAAACGTTAATGCATAATTAACGTTATATTATTCTAATGTCATTAAAATTGTTGAATACTACGAAGTAAATCTTCTTATAAATAATCTATGACGGTTTTGCGAGGTCTTTCTAAAATAATATTATTGACAAAAAAATCAGACTATAGAAATAACATGAGCATAAATCATAATTTATGTTGACTCTTACTTACCTAAAAACAATTATATACCCAAAAATAGTTCATCAATTTAAAAGGTATTTTTCATTTGAAATCCAATTCCAAACGAGTGTTCTAAACCAAAAGAAATATCATAGAATTCCATTTGTTTTTAAATGTGCAGATTGGATGTAAGCGACGTTTAGAATGGTGTTGTTTGTAAGCTTTATATAATATACAATGCTTGTATGAGTCGCTCCAAAACCAATAATAATTGGTCCAGTTCTGACACTTATGTGAATGTAACATTGAACAACGTCTTTTTGAAGAAGGTGTTATCTACAGAAAAGCATGGTTGGGCGAATAAGCAAATTCTCAATGCTTGAAAACGGCAGGCTATTTCATTATTATTTCTTCCTTTTACTGTACATAAAAAATCTAAATTCGAATTATTTTTGTATCCTCAACGTCAATTCCTTTCCAATTTTCGAACTGAACCCGATACTCGGACAGAGAATATGCGCATGAACTCTCGATGAAAATATGATCAATGAAGACAGCGGGGATGGTTTTAAATGTATGCGTATGTAGTATAATCGGAAAATGTGAAGTTACACAATCACATGTAAGGGGTAGTTGTCGTTGGAGGTGTCCCGCTTCGAAGTCCCAAACATTTGTTAACCCTACCTATATGGTAAATATATGCTCCTCCAAACCTCGCTTTCGCTATTCGTCTTTGTGATATTTTATTCTTTTATCAACAAATTTGAATTAATTCACCTACACTCTTACATCTTTACCATAGTTAGGTGTCCATATGAAAAAGGTTAAAACCGGATAGTACTTTGCTAAATTAAACTTGTCAGATGCGTATTTTCAACTCGAATTTGGGATAGAAGCAGAAAACACTATCTCGTTATAACGCTATATAGTTTTATCAGATAGACTCTATTAGTCTGATAGGTATGTTTTAGTGGTGTCTAGCTTGGCTCATTTTCCACGTTATATGATATCACATTTATGAACCGAGAGTCGCCGGAAGTCGCTTTTTTCACTGGTAACTGCCACTCGTAACCTACGTTGGGATTTTTAATTTCATAAATCTAAAAATTAAATTCAAGGTAATTTTGGATTTAGTGACCAAATTAGGCCTTTATTATTCACTTTGAAGCTAATCATAGTACTGCAAAACTGCTTGGTATTGTTAAAATTATTGTGTATTTCAACGATGTTATAGTAATTTCATAATTAATTTATGAGAGACACAAATTTCTTTACAAATTTAAATACAGAAATTACGGTACTATCGTTGTACTACCTAATAATACTCACAACAACAAACGGTTTGACAGCTTTATGGTTAGTTTTAAAGTAAATATTTGTCCATAATTCTGAATACCTCAATTTTGTTGCCAGTCATTGGCATTTTGTAAGTCAGCTTGAAACGCCCATTTTTTGGCTTCATTGCCGAAATGATATGAAGAAAACTAGGACCAATTAAGTGTTGAATACCTTAATTCATTACTATTATTCCATGACCTTTCTTAATTCATTTCTAACCCTAACCCCAACTGGATAATTACTATTTTGTTATTTTAAAACGTGACAGAGTATTTTTCTCAAATATCACATTTTTGGATTAGTGGTGGGGGCTTTATACAAAAGGTCCCAACTTTCATGTAAAGATCCGAATTCTACGGCATTGTCGAATGGATTCGATGGCTTTGGTGTCATTTCAATCACAGCAATAGGGAGTCATTTATCCAATTAGGTCTGGATTCGAAGCGTACGTCGGAGATCCCGGGATTTTTGGTACAATAGTTTATTTGTAAAAACGCCAATATATATAACAAAATAAATATTTCATAACATTCATGAAAATTTTGTATTTCTGAAGTAGTTGCGATATTACGTGACATTACACCATGAAGTTATTTTGCATTCAATATGTCATACAAACTACTGTAATTTATGTTAATATTGACCAAGTGTATGTGCCACATAATATCCATGAGTTAAACTTGGATTGTTGGCCAGGAGGCACTCAGGTTAGTGCACCGCAGCAAAACGACGCGTCAGAACTGAGTGCCGTGTGCAAATTCAAACATAGACTCGTGAATTTTCGCGCGGCTCTCAATTTCTATGCGAGTGCCGTGTGCAAAGCTAGGCAATAAAAAGCCACGTACATTGGGGATCTCACAAACAGAGCATATTTTGAAAGCAAAAGTAAACCTGCTGTAAGCTTTTTGAACCACTGGGAAAGAAAACCTCAATTGAAATGGATCCATGCAATTGCGCAGGTACGATTTTAGTTTTGTATATTTTCCATTTAAGACGTACAATTATTTATCCCACCTAGGTGGAGTTAATATGTTCTTTCTGTGCCAATTCATGTTGAAATAGAATTTTTGTTTATTTAGAAAACGAATTTTTAAGTGACATTTTTTATGAGATATCTTGTAGTTGTGACAAGCAGAGAAGGTTATTCAAGGCAATGGAGTTGGTTATTCGCATTATAATAATTTGGATTTATAGACTACTACATGACCATCTTATTCTGAAGTTAAAATTGTTATCAATAACATTTCCAAAGATCTAACCTGGGTATATTGAGAAATATGAAAGTGACGTCCACACTGTCGCTAGGTTGTATTATAAATAGAAGAAGTATGGTTCTGCGGTAAGCACTCTGCAACGTACAGAGAAACACGCCGTCTTTCAGCAACCAGTCAAGTTTCGTGTGCCAAAACAAACATCCAATAATTTTAAACACATTCTTTATTTTGCAGAAACCGGCACATGCCATTGCGACAAATGTACAGACTGCACCAAATGTAAATGCAATCCAGAGACTTGTAAATGTTCACAAGCGAAAAAAAGTTGCTGTCCAAAATAAAAAGGGGCGGCTTTGTTCGGTGAATATATTTCCATTTTTCAAAATATATTTTTAATTTGCATTACCCTAAGCCAAAATCTCATTAATGATTAACGTGATCTCAATCTCATTTTAGCTTAGTCTCATAGAGACATTCGCATAGAATTCAGTTCGTAACTAAAATCACCGAGATCAGACAACCACTGGGATCACATACCGAATTAGCACCCAATAAAATTTTCCATTTTTTCCCCGACATTATAATACGTATTTTATAATCCGATTTTCCGAAAAAGGGAACACTTTTCCCACAAATCTTGTCTGGTTTATCTTTGGCATCTAATCTTCATTCGTCGACACTACCAATCAGCTCTGTTAGATACATGATCGCAAACTACTGCCTGATGTCAAAATACCAAGGTTTTGCGTTTCAATAGTTTTTGTTTTAAATTATACCCTTTTTTTCAGATTGATTCATCGTTGGTGTATATATATTTTCTTCGTTTTTATAATCAAAGTGCATATTCGCTCATTGTATAATTTGTGATATTAATATCGATTTGTGAATTGTAGGCGCGGTTGCTTTCAGCTCAATAAACGCTGGTCTCAGTCATGACAAAATCCAATAATTTACCCAAAGAAAGCAATGTGTATTTCATATAGTGTATAGACTTGAACATTAATCATAGTCAGAAAAGTAAAGAAAACAGTTTTACTATATGAAGAACTTTGTCGGTCCACCTGCCAGACGTCAGTTTCTCAAAATGTCAATTTTGCAAACAAAAAAATTCTGATTGATCGTCAACAATTCGAAAGTATCGAGAATAACTATTTTGCATTGCATTGGAATATTCTATTATTTTCGATATCACTTATTATTGATTGGGTTTCTACTAGACCAACTACTTTTTCGTTTGTTTTCTATCCTTTTGTGTCGGTGGATCCGTCTGCATATAATGCAAGGATGCTGTAGCAAGAGTAAAAATAACTATTCTGAGTAATTCAATAGTCTTGCTAATTTGAAATATGTATGTCTGAGGAAGTTTGACCTTGGTCAGACGAAATGTTACAGAAATATATTTGTGTTGTCCATTGAATTACTTATTATTTGTTGAAAATTTGTTTCATCGATACTTTCGAACAGTCTTTTCGGATTTTTGAGAGCTTAGCAACAGTCACTCATAGGTTAATTGACAGTCATTGTACATTCATTTAGTTTAGTGAATATAACTTTAAACGCCACTAATGAGCAATGTAAATAGTGCAATGTAATGCTTTGCTTGTAATACAAATACAATAAATAATACACTGCAAAATGCTGTTGCGCTTGGGTTGTTGCACGTTGAGAAATAGGTGCAGAAGAAACAGAATTAATTGCTTTATCATAATTTCAGTAGTAGAACAATTCGGTCTATGACGTGTGCTAATTTTTCTCGGTCCTCGGAGCCTTATCATTTAGTCGGGTGCAATCTCAAATGATCATCATTCCCCGATCCAAATTTGACGAGTTTTTTACGCTTTACGCACAGTTCCGGACGAGAAAAAACTCTTTATCGACGTCCCCTTGCACATAAATGCTTTTGCGATAGGGAGAATACGCGGAAATATAGTTCACCGACATAATACCGATGTTCACGACCTAAATACCCACATCATGTCATCAACAATCGACTATAACTATATCGACTCAATGCAACTATGCCCAGAGCAGAGGTTTATTTTTGCTGACATGTCCACCGAAGACACGAGTCGTCTCTTGAAGAAATTATAGTAAATACTAATGAAAAATTTGACTGGGAGTGAATCTAACAACAAAGTCTTGTAAAATCTAGGAATTATATATAATAAGTGAAAACTACTATCTATAGGAAAACTTGTCGACAGTATAGTTTTCTTTTGAATAGTTTTTTATTTTTTGATTGCATTTCCAAACTTACTACTTTTTCGACCACACGTGCTTGAAACACACACACTTTATTCTCTGTTATTTTGGATAGATGAGGAAGGCCAGACCAAAAAATCGTTGAAATAAAATAGACTTATCGCATCATCTTGCACTTGGCATTGTTGAAGCGAGAAGGTATAACAGTAATGTAGAGTCGAATTAAAGTTCCAAACAACTCCGACTTCTGACTTCAATCAATTTGAAAACTGACTCCCCCATGTTGATGACGAAAATTTTAACTCCGAATCTAACCTTCAAATTTAACTTTAGATTCCGCCTCCAAGATAACCAAATTTCGACCACGAAAGTTTAAAAATTCGTTTCTGGTTAAACTCGAAATATGATGATAGCCATATATATGTATGATCATTTGCGTTTTATTTTTCATTTAAACTCTAAATATAATTTGGCAGTGGTAATTAAATTCTTTGCAATCCCTATTTTGTTCAAACTTCCTTACTACAAAGGTTTTTTTTATATGCGAAGGATGCCCCTTCTGAAAAAAGTGGGCCATTTTTTAAAAATGACCAATTTTCATCAATCGTAGGAGGCCCTGTGTTGTAGTTTCCGAGAACCAAATTACACAGCAGCTGGGTATGGAGAATGGCTCCCCATTAGGCATCAATTTTCTTTATAAAAATTATATTTGTAATCTCGCTTAATTGTAGTAGCGTAACATGATTATTTTAGGAAATTTGTTTGATACCGTTCCATCTTATCAACCAGAAAAATGCAATCCAATTTAAGATAAATATATAATTATTACACCACGCTTGTTTAGAGTTGTTTCTGTTTGTTTTGGTCGATTCTCGAGCAGCGCACCACATGTAATTTTCGTTCGTTTGGTGGTATCGTTCTGTTCCTTCTGTTAGATTACGTTATGTTATTTTGATACTTTTATGTTGATATGGCTACGGCAGTTTCAGAAAGCAGTTTATCAGCCGAAATCTCAGAAAGCCTGTTACAGTGTCCAATCTGCCATTCAGCGTATGTAAAACCAAAAGTGCTGTCATGTCAACATTCTTACTGCGCAAAGTGCTTGAAAGGTATGTGATAAAACTGATGTACACCGTTTTGAGCCCGGACCACTTGTAACACGCCATAAATAAGCAAGAATAATTTTTGTGGATGATATTTTCAATTGTGATTTCTTGTATTTCATTATAAAATCTCTTAAAATGAGAAAATAAGAAATCACAATTCTGTGGATAACTGCATTTTGAGTGAATTTTTTGAAGGAATCGAGAAGCTTTAAAATTGATTGCTTATAAATTGAGAGTTGGATAATTATTATTGAAATATGGAGCGTTTCGTACTTAATGGTCGTCCAGGTATTTATAGTTTATTATTTTCACTCAATATGTTCATGCTGAGAATAAACCTATTGCCGCCGTCGTGACCCACGGCGTCGATCATAAATCTCTGTATAAGCAGCCATGGATACGTAAGAACAGACATTTTTGCCCATCGTTACAATAAAAGTCAACTCTATTTTAGGATGGCTTCGAACTAAAAGTAAGAAGACCAATAAAGTGAAATGTGCGGTTTGTCGCAAGCTTACTGTACTACCGCAACACGGAGTCGAAGGACTGCCGGAAAATTACGCCATCAAAGGATTATTAGCAATGCTAAATCACCGAGAAAAAGAAGTGAAATCTGACAAAGTAACAACTTCAAAAAAAGGTCTCGTGAAACCTGCCACTAAAACGACACAAAAAGCCAAGCCTAAAACAGGTAAGATTATGATAGCTTCTTACTGTTGCAAGTTTTGTATGTGATACAAATAGTTCGTATATACAAAACTTTTGCTTGAGATTTCGACTGATTTTAATAAAACGACATTGTAGACATTTGTAGCAGTAACCCAATTTTTTTCCATGTAGGCCTGTTTATTGAGTGCCGTACACGACAGAAACAAAAACAACACTGAATTATGTTGCTTATTGTGTCTCGGTCCAGGAGTAAGTAATGTTTCCGCGTATTTAAAAAGCGGACTTCAAAACGTGTACAACCATCTTCTAACAAAATATCGTTCTACATGTAAATCTAATTACCTAACCAACCAAAGGCGTGGTATATGACTGGGCCGTATAGAACATGCTTTTCGTACTAGAAAAAACATTCTCAAACGATAAATAGTCGCATTCGCTGTGGTATACCATTCCAACTGTGATTTTATTTGAAGCAGCCCCGACATCTAGTAAGGAAATTGCGAAGAAAGTTGCTGAAATGATGAGCTCAAAAAGCAATTCGAAACCGAAAAAGGCAGCCAGTTCAAATACCGAGAAAGGCAAAAAGACAGCAGCTCCTGCAAAACGACAAGATAAAAATGCGAATGTGATGAGACAAAAAAAGAAAACCGCAGAAGAAAAGCAGCAAACATCAAGCAGCGACACATCTAGCAGCGACGAAGATGATTCATCCGATTCCTCTGATTACAGTGTGAGATTGTTTGGCTTAATTTAGTTTTGACGAATTCAGGGTGCTATAAAATTTCGATAAATACTCCGTTTTGGGTCTTTGAATACCGAAACTTGTACAAAGTGTTAGAGCGAACCAAACGAACCAATCTGCAAACCTTATTTGGTAGGTTGGCCGAAGAAGGCAATTTATTACAGGGTTGTAAATACGATTGTCCTATAATATAGCAATAGTTGAGAAAGCTGTTCATCGGTTTGTATAATTTACGTAAGTGTAACATAGTCTTCCTTTTTTACATTTCAATCAAACTATATTAATTTTCTTCAGTCTTCCGACGAAGACAGTGAAGATGGAAGTTGTTCAAGTTATGATTCTGATGATTCTTATAGTGATTTCTACGAGTCGTCAGATGACGAAGATGTCCCACCTACACCGACTATTAAGATGTATGGCGAAATTAAAGTAGGAGTGGAGGTAATGGTTATGATGGTTTGTTTCCTGTGAATATAATTTACTTGGTGCCGAAGAGGATATTACAAGCGCGATGGGGACAACTGTAGGCCTACATTAATCAAATTCAATGTTAAAGGAAAATCTTTTTGAAACAATCTTTTGGGTTGTAAACAACACTATTTTTAGACTAAAGCATTTAATTGAAAGGAATAATTTTAATAATATGTGACATTTCATTCAAGGTGTACGTCTTCAATCGTCGTGGAAAAAAATTCCCTGGAGTTGTGAAGCTTCTCGAGAGTTGTCAACTAAAACATCTTACTCAACCTCGCATGTTTGCTGGTGTTGAGCTGGTGAGAAAGAATTTATAATGAACGGTTACAAAATACGCTTCCATTGTCCATTGATAGATTAAATTTCTATTGCCGATTTATCAACATTTTATGAATATTTGAACATGCTGATCATAGGAGACTGGCTGGCGCGGTTGGCACTCGGTAGTATGGTATTTATGATACGGAAACTGTTTTGGTAAATGTTTGTTGAGATCACTAAAACGTGTCCAGTAAATCTCATTTCTGAACATTCTTAATGGCTGGCGCGGTTGGCACTCGGTAGTATGGTATTTATGATACGGAAACTGTTTTGGTAAATGTTTGTTGAGATCACTAAAACGTGTCCAGTAAATCTCATTTCTGAACATTCTTAATCAAATAGTTTTTTCGCACAAACCAACCGCTAGTTTACCATTTAAGGCGCGATATCCCCCGATAAAACACTTCTCTTGTTCAGCATTTCGGATGGCTCTTTGTAGTTTATTTGTACATTTTGCTTCTGAGATCATGAATAGGCTTTGATCTCTTTTTCACAACCTGGTATATTGTTCAGGAAAAGAAAAACTCCAGTCTCATCACTGAAGACATAGACGATATTGACGATTCCTATCTTTCATTCTGGCTAGAGGAAAACGACAATCCCCGCACTGTTGTCCGTGCAGATGACTGCTTCCCAGTTTCACTTGTTAATAGTTTGATGGACTTTAAGTAGTTCGCATATGTTGATTTTGCAGTAGTAAGAGCATTGGCTGAAATTATGAATGACGTTCTTGGTCCCAATGAATATATATATATACTATATAGCACCACGTGGTTGTATCGCATACTCGTGGCTTGAAGTGTTTTTTGTGAAAATTATGAATGGCAAATTAAAAATAAAAACTGGTATTTGTGTAATTGCTTCGTACTTTTGTTGGTTTTTTGATGATTGCTATTCCTTCGTGTCGCCGCTCAAACAGCGAAGAAATAGTAACGGAATAAATACTTTGAGGCTCATCATTATTCTGTATATATTTATGGTTTGTGCGATTTCTGGCTGGTTGTGGCAATTTATCATCTCGCTCAAATTATTGCTATTTCATAGGCTGAAAGATTTTATATCGCGTCCCATTGGCACCGAAAATAGTAAACTAACAAATATTTTTTAAAACTATCGATGTAGCCGTCTCTATGCTGTGATTTAAAACATAGCATTCGGTTTAACAAAAAAAAAATTATCTCTTCGCTAATTTCGCATTGTTGGGGTGAGCTAATCCTAAAGATTGTTTTATTTTATTTCATCATCGAAATGGCTTTTTTTGGAAACTATAGTTCCAAGATGTGACTACAGCATAAAACTTGTGCGGCCATTACAAAGTTGGAACTGACAGACAACGATGATTGCCACGTTGTTGGAAGGGAATAAAATAAAGCTGTTCCCGCAAGTGAAACTGGTAGGCTGGAGCACACGGTGTTGTAAAAGCGTGTGCCTACCATTGAACATCAATAAGAAGTATAATAAATTGCAGCATTGACCGTATTTAGCTGAACCATCGATTCATTACCCAATCCACCTTTATACATTTACTGTTAAAGTTGATTTTATTATTTATATTGTGACAGACAAATATTTTAAAGCGACAGAACAAGAGAGGTGATTTGAATGGAGAATATTATAGAAAAAATTCACATATATATATAGTACAAGAGACCTATGCTCAAATATATGAACACGCAGACCAATTCCCCGAAAATCATATGCGGTAACTTTCCAGTAGCTGTATCGGGGTACCGTGAGAGTTCAGGGACTGTCATAGCTTTTCCAGGTCATGTGGCAATGATCCATTCTTCATAATTGAGTTGAAATACCACGTAATACCACATTCTTCAACATGAATTGAAATACCACGTGATATCGATGATTTATTCTTCCAATTTCAATGAGAATTTAAATACCAAGTGATCCGAGTCACTTCTGTATTACCAGGACAAATTGAAATACAAAATCATATATATGCGGTGCGGTAACTCACCAGAACCGCATGTAGAATGTAGATGTAGGCCAAATTTCGGGTGAAATATAAGATCTCATAAGATTCATATAAAATTTAGGAATAAACAAAAGTAATAGCCTTTTAGTGAAAAACACAATCTTTGCCCCTTGAAAATTTTAAAGCAATTGCTCCAGTAGTCAAAAAGAAAGGCGATTTTTTTCATAACGATACGAAGAAAAATTAGAGCAACAACAAAAATACCAAAACAATCCATAGTCCAATATTATCACTCACTGCTTATTCATTGGTCACTAATCAGAGTGGGAATGGGATTACCGTTTCTTTATCCTAAATAGCCGACTCCTTTCTTCTTGTTTCTCTTTAAAATACCATCCTTTTTCTTCTCTTCTGACTTTGGAAAAACATTTTGGCGCGTGCCACATTTCAGTTCAGGGTGTGGTAGCGTAATGTCGTTTCTACGCTGGTCTGCGCCAAGGTATACGCAAAGTTTTCAGGCAAGGAAGGTCGGAATACCATTAGTTGTCAACAGTGTTTTGACAAGATCATTAATGTATACCGTCGCTTAACGTTAATTTCATAATCTGCAGCTACATTTTAAAAGTTCATGCATAATAATTTAGGTATACGTAGAATTCAGAAACACATAGACTAACTCAATACGCCTTTGTTTCTGTCATATTCGTTTTTCTGATTATCATTTTGAGTGTTAAATGATGATTCTAGTTTTTGTAGTCTTATATTTTCATATTACACGTTTTTACTTTGCATGTGTTCTTTTTTTATTTTGCTCGAGCACATAGTTTCTGATTTATAGCAAAATTAATGACGTTTGTTCGGCCATTCTGTCGCTTTTTGATGTATTGTGAGCTGCTGCGCTTCCCCGAACTTCTATTCCTCAGCTGTCGCAAAAAACGACAGTTTTGCTTTCACGGAGTCGTGCTTGTTCGACACTAATTTGTGAGAAATAAGACGTCGCTGGAAGGCTATTAGTAGATTTGCAAATATTTGGGATCTTACGGGCCCGTTATTCCACCCCAAAATTTGTTATATTTTACAATTCACTGATAGAACTTTTTTCCTGTATGATAATCTGTAGAATGATTCAAAATTTGGTTGCAGTTGCAATTCTCATATTAGTCATGATCTCCGTGCCCACATTTAATTTGAACTGTAACTCTGTATAATCGCCCTTTTTAGCGGCCCCTAATAAACTAAGGAGAGGGGTCATAACTATTACTCTAAATTACAGCCTTAAAGGCGAAGAAAGGAGTGAAAAAAAACTTATCAAATTATGAGATTGACCCGATTGGTGGTCAGGTGACGTAAATAGAAAGGTAGTAAGGTTTATCAGATTTAGCACAACTTGATTATTAATGCAAATGTTCTATAATTTTTAATTTAATTACAGGGCTTTGCGAAGATAGAAGATATTGTAACTGCTGGTGGTCGAGGGAAGACTGATGGATGTAAATTGATAGGTTGGTTGTTTTTTTCCTTTTTTCTGAAAAATAATTTTATTGAGTGCATGGGCGTATATTAAACGTAAAAAATATTTTTTTTAAATTGCACAATGTATGCTTTTGTATGATGAGAGCGCGTTAATTATAACAAATTTTTAAAGTGACTTTTGCGTACGTGGGTTGTATCGTGATATTTCCTCTTCAATTTGAACGAGCGTGGCCTATATTTCACTCAATGCATAAAATGCATAATAAGTTATGTGATTTTGTAGTTAGAGCTCGCTCTATCTATTATACTGCTTCTTGGGTCGTGCTTCGACTCTAATATTAGTTTCGAAATGCTCGACCCCAATATTTACTTCATCAAGACATTTTTTGGATTTTAGATAGTAATTACCAATTATCCATCTATTATTTGTTTTGTTACACGACTAAATGTACAGGAGACAACTCTCCCCGGCACAACTATGACCACATTTTCATCAGAACAATATAACCGAAAGTAAATCCTTACGAACATACAAAACTTGTAGCTAAATATAATTTTCTGCTGGAATTATATAAATCGGGTCATTTTCCTGCGTCTGTCTTGTAATTATTTTCGCTTGTATATTGTCCGTTTTTCGTTATCCCCATCACGAAGTGTAAAATGTGCTCCTGACCCACTTTATTGTGCACCATATAAAAATCTACCTTTACTGTTAAGCATTCCAAATTATCAAGGCGTGTATATGATGATGTGCATATTATATTAATGATTAAAACTAACTAATCCTCAATTCATTCCAGGTATACATCCACGAAGAAAAATGAAATTAATCTTTGAAGACAATTAAACGAACCGTCGTGTAAGCAGATGAAACTGTTATATCAAAATTTGCAAATAAATTTGCAAATACAAACTGTACTGAGTGTTTTTGAATCGACCATTCTTTCATTCACCCAGTTAATTCTTTGATTCTGCACATCACATCGTTAAACATGATGTAGAAGTCCCAAAGTTTGTTATACAAATTCTGAAATACATCCACCCAAAATAGAACCCTGAAGCTGAAATTTAGACGGCCTCTCGTGATAGAAGAAATTTTTACGACTCCAAAGTAGTGTATATCATATATATCATTGTCATAATTCTATGTTAAATATTAATTTCGTTCTACAATGCACCGTATCAGTCTCTCGATAGAAAATGTTCAATAATGTAAAATAAATAAATAAATTATTATCCACTTTTGTAATATATCCCTGTTCGTGTGTAATGATTTATTTATGTGGTTGTAAAATGTTTTCAAGATGAATTTTTTTTACCTTGTGCTTTTTTATTCAAACTTTGTTGAAACAATAAAATATTTCCGAAATCCTAACATTCTCGAGTTTTATTCCGGATAGGAAAAGTTTAACAGGTATAGACTAAAAATCTAAGTTAAGGTGATACTAAGCAGGAAATGCTACTGCGGCCCGGGCGGGTACGATCCAGAAGATAAATTATTATGTTCGGATATGTATGGCCCGACGATAATAACAGAATTTTCGGCAAAAATTATCTCTAGCCACACTTGGCCAATGATAAATGAAATGCGTCCAAATAATTATCTAAGGCCACACGTGATCGATGACAAATTTTTTGGATCTTAACATTTTTAAGGGTGTTAGCAGAAAAAAATATTATAGACCCTGAATTTTTGTCGATTTCGGCCATTTTTCATCAGATGATTGTCAATATATATTTAGTCTCCTACATCCTCCATGACGTACGTCACCTTAATACCCCATCGAATGTTCGTATTTTTTTAAAAGACTTCATCGGGCTCGAACTTTGGACTTATGATAAACTCGATGTGAACCTGACCACTAAACCACAACAATGCTGAATTCCAACTGATTTAACTCTAGTACTTATCTACCAAAGGGATAATCAACCTTATTTCCCAGATTTCGTGACCCCGCCTCTTGATAGATGAGTATTAGAATTAAAGTGTTCGAGACTTAACGTTATCGTGGTGTAGTTGTAAGGCATCGATTTAAGTCCAAAGTTCGAATCCGACGAAGCATTTTGAAATATATCGATTACAAAATATGGGGAGGAGAGATGGAGGTGACGTCATTAAAGGAAGTATAAGGCTGTATAGTGACGATTATACGATAAAAATCGCCAAAAACGACTAATATACAAGGGGTTACCCTTAATAACGTCAAAATCTAAAAAAATTACCACCGATCAAGTGTGGCCGAAGATCATTATAGATAATCCTTGCCCTCTAACCCCCGCTTAGATTCAGTCTATGCCCGTCAAACTTCTCCTGCCCGGAATAAAACTTGATATTTTATTGTTTCAGCAAAGCTCGAACAAAATAAAGCAAGAGGTAAAAAAAAGTTCAAGTTTATCTTGAAAACATTCGTTAACATTAAGGCAAAAAAGTTTTCGTTAACTATAAGGCAAAAATTAAAATCAGATATACCAAGACAACAGAAACAGTACACACGCGCGAACATGGGTTAGTTTTACAATTAAAATACACTATGTGAATCATAAATTAATAGCGTTAATAAATTTGGATTTATTCCCAAAAACCTGCGGTCAAAAAAAGTTTTGGGAAAAAATAAAGAGAAAATTTGATTGAATTTTAGCTGAAATTACGTCTGAAATTTGGACTTTCTCAAAAACTTGCGGTAAAGTTAAGAGCTGCACGTGTCATTTCTGCAGCCTATTTTTCTAATTTTAGTGACAAAAAGCACTTTAGAAACAATCGTGAAATCGTAAATATCAGCTTAAAAGTGCCATTTTGGTCGGCTATATTTTAGAAATAATACAACGAAATTAGTATTTAGTTGCATGCATTATATTACAACGGGCTGTGTGGAATTCACCTTCCATGCTTTTTCCTCGTCATATAGACCAGGGCTACTCTAAACTGGCGGACCGCGGTCCGAATCCGGATCTTTCGAGTATTTGATTCGGACCGCATTTAATAGTTTGGATCATTAGACCCACTTTTAAAGTTCCCTTTTATAAAATGACTTTTCTAGTTTTGAATATATATGTACAGAACCATAACACCATAATTAACAATCTTGATTTGCTAACAATCATTAGCCGGTCGAGAAAGTATGCGAATAAGGATGCCGAAATATAATTAATGGAAAGACCGGATCCAAATAATTTTGAAGTTTTGTATGCGGACATTCGATGAAAATAGTTGAGTAGCCCTGATATAGACAATCGGCATGTGTACTGCTTCCATGCGAGATGTGAATAATTAAAAAATTAAAGCATTGCCCATATAAGGGATAGACACCAAAGTAAATCTCGAATACGCCTTCAGAGACTTCATCCCGTTACATCATATATGAAACAACAATTTGCAGTGTATTACTCAAATGATCTATTAGGGGTTGGCACCCTTTTATCGCTTACGAGCCAAAATTAGTGATTGCAAGTCTTGGCGGGCCGCACATATTTTAGAAAGTAGAACGAATGGACGATGAATTATAATTATTTTACACAGATCACAAGTTAAATTTTGAATTTTAAGCAGTGCGCGAAGACTGCGACAACTCCCGAACTCAACATAGTAGTGTTTAAAATGGCATTTAATTGGACACTTCGCTGCATCATGCTTGATACGTTTTCGACATCACTAAATGGGTAACGTTTTTTTTAAATAATTCACTGAATAAAGCAGTGATAGAAAAAAAAATTATAAATGGGCATCACTAATCTTAGTTGTCCGCTTGTTCTTTGTAATGTTCGTGAGCATTTATATACTTCCAAACATCGATGTAACTTTTTCACATAGTTTGTCAAATTTGGATAGAATTTTCTTAACATATTTTTTATAAAAACCTGGAAGCGATACATCTCTCGCATAAATTTCCTCATTGCATTGCATCTCAAAAAATTCCACTTGACTATTTTCTGCGCCATTGGAACCCATCTGCACTTAGCATCAACTTTTCTGCGTTTTGTTGCTATTTGACTAATTATAAGCAAATTATAGACTCAGTAAACGAGGAATTGTGTGAATTACACATTTGTGGGGTTATAATATAATTCAGTGAATCGTCGCGGGCCGGATTATATTACTCCGATCTGGGCCGCGGGCCTTAGGTTGCCGACCCCTTGAATTTTATGTGAATCAGCAGTGTATCACTAGAAAAATAATATGGGAATATGATATTAGTTGACTGAAAATAGCTCAAGTGTGTTTTGAATTTGCAAATTTTGACAAACAGTTTCTTTCCTCACGCCGGTTTGTTTAATTTTCTTCATAGATATACTTCATTTTTCTTCGCAGATATACATCTGAAATCAAATGAGAATTAGTTAAATTTGACACAGCATTTTTGAATTGCACCTTAATAATTTGGAATGCTCAACAGTATAGGTAGATTTAGATATGGTACAGAATAAAGTCGCTCTGTCCGGTCTGCTCACCTATTCAATGCTAAAATACGGAGCACATTTTTATACTGCGTGAGGCAGATAATTACAAGTTAGACAGAAAAATGACCAGATTTCTATTATCGGTGCAAAAAATTATCTCTCTCGAGTTAAAGCTACAAGATTCGTTTGTGTTGATAAGGACTTACTTTCAGTTATATTGTTCTGAGAAATGTGGTTATAGTTGTGCCATGAAGATTTACCTTCTCTGTACATTCAGTCCTGTAAAAAAAAGAACTTGATGAATAATACACCTATAAATTGTTGGTAATTTACTATATGAAATCTGAAAATTATTTGAAGCAATCGAGATATTTGACAATTAAATATTAGGGTCGAGCATTTCGGACCGCGTATTAGAATCGAAGCACGACCCAAGAAGCAGTATAATAGATACATCGAAGTAGTACTCACCAACTGCAACCTTGTCCCGGACAAACAATCATTCTTTAGCTACCAGAATGTAATGTGAGTAATACCTAACAATATTAAGCCTTTGACTTGTAATCAAGTGATAAACTGATCTTCAGACCAATTACCTTTATTTCCAGTTGCGTTACACGACCATCAACCATGTCAATATCTTATGACGATAGCTTTTCTTTCACTTCTTTCTTCGCCTTGAAGCCTGTAATTTAGATAAACAGTTAGAACTTGCTTTTTATCTCTCACATTGATCAGCTAAAATTTTGAAGGGTGATTACACAGAAACGATCTCACGCAACCGCGCCCCAAGTGACTCCCGTAGTATTCGTACCTGAAATTATGGCCTAACCCTAACCTGGTACACGTACTACGTTCCGGTGCCCCATCTTGGTTCACATACTACGGGAGTGCCGTAAATAGAACTTACCAATTGCATCTCTGTCCATGAAGTAATTTTGTCGTCCTAATTTTTACGATCTTTTATATTATGATGTATTTTTGTTATGCCTGCATTTTAACAAGCGTTTCGTTTCGATACTTTTCGATTTAATACGCCGAACCGTTATTGGTAAAATGCCTAAACGTGTAATAAACTTTGAGACAAATACCTATATCTTCCCTCACATATAACTGTGAACGTCGCACGACCATCTATAACTCAATATCACGTTTGCGCTTTCATCCCCTTCGTACTTTTTATCTTGTCAATAAAAATAAATTCAAATGGTTGATGAAAAAGTTACAGGGTGTCGGTTTTACAAAATACGAAAGTTACAAAGAATGAGACAACTATAAACCGAATTTCAAATGCATAGTCTAATATTTTATACTTAACTGAATAAATGTCTAACCGCATTTCCTACGGCAGATCCAGACGCCAAAATTTTTTAGTTCAAAACATCCCGTCTTAGTTTGCTTAAATACGATCGAAACCAGATTCAGATAAAATGCAAAACAGTCAGATTATTCAAAAAACGTATTTGTTTATACTTATATAAATACCATGTTGTTCATCGCTTAGATTCTTGTAAAACCACGCTATTGTTTGAAATCACAATTCTAGTATTGGAGCAGGACTGTGTCGTTTTTTTCTATAATCCTCTTATGTGAAAGTATCACATATGATCGACTTATTGGCCACCCCTGACCTATACCACACTGCACCGAGGCCCCTTGGTGGATGGCCAAGTCCAGTCACACCAATCGTACGTCGAATCACTGAGTAACGCCTACTGCTAGTTTAATTAATGACGAGTTCAACCATTACATTTAGATGAATGACTCAAATCACCTCAGGTCTTCGTCAAATGGTGACTTGAGCCCAGTTAATTGATCGAGCTTTTTTAAAACCGCTCAAAATTTTACATATATTAAAATTTACCTCCTCGATCTGTATCTAACTGTATCTTCCGTTTTCGTTTTCATTCAGACAATTCCAGAATTTGTGATCCGATTTCAATCTGATTCAATATTTGAGGGTTTAATTTTATTCCAACTACTTTAGTAAAAAATGCGACTAAACGGAATTATGAATCACCTGTAAGAAAACAGAAGCAAGCAAAGAAATCTAAACCATTTGGTAATTGTCGTAGGGTTATTTTATGTATAAAATCGCATACATCTGAATTTATTGAAAATGTAAATTTGAATGCAACGCTGCTCAACGCGTGTGCCCAGCAGTATGCAGCTTTTATATGTAAATTGTAATTGAAAGTTATTTTGAGGGATATATAAAAAGACACTTATGGTTGTTCGATTAAATTAGATATTAACAGTTACCTTATTAATCCTTGATCGCATCCCTTCAACCTTAACCTTCGCAATAACACTTCGTTCCTATCTTTTCTTTCCCCTTTTTCTTCAACAGTTCCACTCGTACACGTGCACACATATACGAAACAACAATTGTAGGCCTACGCCTATAGGCTAACTGCATTAGCATAGCTGTGAAAGACTTAGAAAAACAAGAAAACGTTAGAATATAAAAGGATCGACATAACAAATGAATAAACAAATTAGGAGAAGAACGAAGTAGAAAAAATAAGGATAAAGAAACAAAGCGACGTGTCTGCAAAATGAGTGACCGTTGAAATGACAACAAAAATTTACGAAAGTAATATCACCTGTACTCTATCCGGAACATTTTTGCACAACCGCATCTTTGTTGAGTTTAATTCCGGCGTAGACCTTATTTACGAAATGGTACAAACATATTTGCACAGTCACATCTTCCCAGGGGTCTTGGACTCCACACAAATACTTTCTTCAATAAATTCCTAATTTAATGAATATTTAGTTAACTGTAGTTTCGGTTCCACTCCAGCAGTTCCTGATGTCAACATTCGCAGCTTGTTTACATTCAGTCAGTTTGCCTAAACACGATATGAACTACTGTATATTATTAGGCTTAAATGCAATATAGAGGTTGAATAAAAACTAACAGAAGGCAAAAACAGGGTAATTCTCATATTTGAAATCTATCTAAAGCGTAAATATGAATACACTTAAAAATTCTTACTTGTTTTGGATTGCACATTTCTTGTTCTCGATCGCCTCCGTCTGTTTACGTCATCGTCATCGAGTCAATAATTGCACACCAAGAATCCTTTAGTACTATGCTATGGCCTAACTGAAAAAGTATGTTTATCCCTAATAATCATTGCATCTTCCGATTTAAATTCACCCCACCGATACAGAACTTGAAATCTCAATGCCACTTTGTAGACATTTCAATCGATAATAGTATTTTAGTTTAGTGAAGCTGTCAAAATCTCAGAAAATAACAGTAAGGTGATACAAGCGTTGGATTACAGAAAGATTAGCGACAAAATGTGCACATAAACCATTAAACTTAAAAAATCACAAAAACAAAATCGGTGCTCACCTGACGGCGTCAAATTTGGAAAGACCGCATGGGCGCAAACAAATCTTGACGTGGCAGGAAAAAAGTTTGGATGTAATAAAGAAACAACTAGGGCGGAGAAGACCATGAAATTGAGACGCCTTTTCATTGGTTATTGGGAATCACATGACCAGTTGACGCCAGAAAAAAAGGAGAGAAAAAAAATGATGGAATATGCCGTTTGTCGCAATAACAACTGTAATTAGAAGTATAAGTTTGAATAAATGGAAATTTTAATACCAATCGTCGACCATCGCATCACATTTCAAAATGTTCATTCCGACAGCAGATTCATATCCGAACCTTCCTCTAACGCGATATCCCCAATCAATTATATTCAGACTTCAGACTGGACATTGCAGGCTCTCCCACCATCTTTTTAAAATAGGCTGTCACCCAGATGGCGAATGCGATACTTGCTCTGTACAAGAAACTGTAGCCCATTTTTTACTATTTTGTCCAAAGTATATTAATGAAAGAAATATTTTGATAAATCATGCACGTAGTTTAAATATTCCATTTCGAATTAAATACGTACTGTCTGATTCAAAAGTTATTCCTTATGTAATTAGGTTTGTTCATTCAACCCGAAGGTTAATATAGACATAGCTTATATACGTATATATTTTTCCGTGTGGCTTATATTTTACATTAATTCCGTATCGTAGGGAATTTTGAACTGCAATTTATTTTGAAGTAGCGTGTTACTTACACTATGGTGTACGGCTTTTGTGGACCTGTTTTTTGTCAGAAAATTATTTTCAGTCTGGCGCACATAATCCTGGTAATTAAAAGCGCCATAACTTTTAATAATAATAATAATAATGATCTTCCAATCATGACACGATAGTCAGGTGATTTCGTGCGGCACACGGCGTCGTGAACTTTTTTTTGAAAACACGTCCCAGAATGTTAAAATGTATAAAAATAAATGACCATACATCCTGTGCAAAACACGCGGTTATATTTGCTGTGTTTTATCCCGTTGTTTCGTCATTACCATTTATTTTCATTATTTTTTTCACGTCATCATTGTTCATTCACATACAGGTATTCTCGTTTTATTTCGTTTTTAAGGGTGATTTATCGCCGTCGTCTCATGGCTGATAATTCCGAATTTACGATCTACAAGCCAAATATCTAATCTCTAAATGATGAAAAGCGAGGACATTACACTCACTAAAGTAGAGTGTTTTTGTGAATTTTTTTGATCATATATACAGGGTGTCTCAAAAAGTAAGTACACACTTTTAATTTTGATTTGCTTTTCGGGTACTCAACAAAGAGAGCGTTCATTTCTTCAGAAAATATAGTATGGATAAGTAGTAAAATTTTGGAAATGTTTGCATTCTTCATCAACCTACATAATGACAAGGAGATTAACCCAAGAAATGAGGTGCAAAACTGCTGTTTGGCAAGAAGCATATAAATCAGTAAGGCAAACTCAGCGCCTCTTAAATGAAAATTTGGAATTAATTCGGCTCTAGATGTTTTCCTCTGAGCGCCCGCTCCTTGGTCTTCCTGATCTTTGTGCATCAACCACAGATCCAGTTTTCATAAATTTACGATGAATTGCATAAATTGTTCGTCGTGTAGGAGCCGAATTAATTCCAAATTCTCTGTTAAAAAGGCGCTGAGTTTACCTTACTGATTTATATGCTTCTTGACAGCAATATTGCACCTTATTTCTTGGGTTCATCGCCTTGTCATTCTGTAGGTTGATGAAAAATGCAAACGTAAATTTTTATTACTCCATACTATGTTTTCTGAAGAAATGAACGCTACATGATGAGTACCTGTAAAGCAAATCAAAATTTGAAAGTGCATACCGGTACTTACCTTTGAGACACCCTGTATAATAAAAATCAATAATTTGTTGTGAAATTTAGTCAAGTACATATGAACAAATAACTATAGGCAGTGCAAAGTATCCAAGTAATTTTACGTCAATCTGCCCTGTCCTCAGGTCTGATTATATAACGCAATTTTTCATCTCAACGAAAACGAATATTTTGACATTGAATTTTATCGATTGGCTAGCAAGAAACGATGCGGATGCCTGACTAGACAATATGCAATGTGCCACATTATTGTATTATGCGCAACGTCAAGATTTTCCGAAAAGTTCGCTTAATTTGTGACAACCCGAATCTGACAGTAAGTTACTTGAAATCCATCCGAAAGACAGCCAGTAAATTGACCTCTCAGTTAGAGGAACTGAGAGTATAGGTTCATGAGATCTAAATTCAAATCGAAATATCTATCACTCGTTGTGATTTCAGACTGCCAGTTTTGATATAACTATGAATACGTACGTATTCAAATTGTGCAGAATCTTCCAACGTGCATCACAATGTAGGCGCGTTTCTCAGTACGAGGTCCCGTTGGTTGGACTTCGTCAGAATTAATTTTTTTTAATTTTTTTATTTGGCATAGTTCATATATTTTAGGTGATAAATCCTTTTAAGAATATAGAACCAAATTATGTGTTCAAGATTTGAAAACTGTGGATCCGCCTATAGGATTCTAACATAAAGGTTAAATCTCAGTTTCCTTTTAAAATGCTTATCATTGTTAGCAATCAATGTAAGCAAAATTTGGAGCAGATTCAACCTCGTAACATACGAAAGTGTCTATCAGACAAGCGGGATAGCGATCAGATATCGCCGACTCATCGATCTAGCGGCGTGTATCTTTCGCTCTGACTCAATAGTGAACCGCTTGTTCCATCACTAATTAATTAATAACTCGCTAATTATACGACCTAATTTATCCGAAATCATCCACATTACTGCTCGCGCATACCCGATAAGTGTTCGTTCGATCCAGGTCCAGGTTCGTCTCAGTGAACATACTGATTTTGGATCTTTTACTATTCTGTTTCAAGATAAAGTGGACGGACTGCAAGTTCTTTTAACGTAGCTTTGTGAAATATTTTTTCATGTTTCCGTTAAATCAATTTTAAAGGAGATACATAGTTGATAGCCATTCTTGAAAGTATTTTCAACGGTACAACAAAATATTAGGGTGAAAGCCAGCAATGGAGAGTACGTGGATGCCACTCCTATACCGGGAACAGCATTAGTAAACATAGGAGATGCTTTGCAGTTTTGGACAAGACTCAAATCAACGTTAATTTAGTTTTCAGTGTCTCTAAAGTATCAATTTATTTAAAGGGGCTCATATATATATACAAGAGCGCAACGCTCAAATATATGGACACGTGCGAAGCAGTACTTACCTTTGACGCTACCGGTACCCACCGGTACCTAGACCTACGTATTAGAAAAGCAAGCAGTCCTTACCTTTGACGCTACCGGCACCTACCGGTACCTACGACTTAGCAAAGCAAGATTTTCATTACACACCACCGACGTTCGATGAACACGTGGTCAAAAGAACAGGAAGAGTGCCAGCATAAAAACAAATCCATTACGTGCCAAAAAACGTATCCCACAGTGCTATCAAAAATATTTGAAATAAATGAAAGTAATACCCCTCTCAAGAAATTTTTTATCTTTAACCACTGAAAATTTCAGAGCAATTGATCCAGTAATCGAAGAGAAAAGCGACTTTTTGGGTTTTCCACTGAGTGTCCAAAAACGTGTCAAAGAACAAGAACAACAACAACATAATATTGAAACGATCCATAGGTCCACTAACGTGTCCGATAAGCAAATACAATACAAAGATTTACTTCAAAATGTAATCTTCGTGCATTAATTTCGCGCGCGTTTATCTTGAACGACAGCTAACAATATAATAATATGTGAGTTAAACGATATATCATTATCATGTTACTTTACAGTTACGAAAATCAATCGAAAACAATTTTATTACTCTTGAAAGCTTTATAAGTTACTTTTAAAAGCTTCGTTGGAATTAATGGTACAGTGGTCACGGTCCATCAGCAAGTAATGTCATTTCTTTGAACAAAATATAAAGTTGTGAACATTTTTATTTGTTTTTCACTTTTTTGATCTAGCTCATCAATTATAGATATATGATGAAAAATGCTTGGTCAATAGCAACATATTTTACATTGAAAAACAGAAGGTACTGCAAACATTAAGGAGTTAAACTATTCACGAACCAAGAGGACATGAGGTAATTCAATAAGATCATCAAATATAAAGGGTTTTTATGAAATTATTTCCTAGTTCATTTTGCTTAGTGAACTATAGAATTTTACGTCCCATCTAGCACACATGACTACACCCTCACTAAACGATATATCACGAGAAATACTTAGTGAATAAATATATTTTACGTTGAGAAAGAGAATAGAACCAATACAATGAGAAGAATGTCTATTCAGGAACCAATAGGACGAAGGGAATCCTACGATATAAATTCAGCTAACAATGTAGACAGTTTTCGTTGATTACTTATCAGTTGAATTCGCTTCGTGATATATACAATTTTACGTATAATCTAGCTCACATTTGTGTAAGCAATTACCGATTTATCACGAGAAATATTCCGCGAATGGAAATATATTCTACATTGAAAAAGAAGCGATTGGATACATTAAAAGAAAGACCATTTCCGGAGCAAGAGAGCAGTGGGAATCCTCCAATATCAACAAAAATATGTTTGTATTAGGTTTTCCGAATTTGCGTATAGTGAATCATAGAATTTTACGTATGATCTAATTCACATGCATACGCCCTCAGTACACGATTTATCATGAGAAATGCATTTTGATTGGAATCAATTCAAGAAGAAGGACTATTCACGAACCAAGAGAACGGAGAATCCTACAATATAAATGGGGACAAAATGGTGGAGGGTTTTCGTCTATTACATATTAGTTGAATTTGTTCGGTGATATATCAAATTTTAGGTACCATCTAGCTCACATGACTACGTCCTCAGTACACGATATATTGCTGGTACCTGTGAGCCATCCTCTATTGTCATTCAGTGTAACTTCACCTAATCGTACGAATAACGCGACAGCGGAGCCTGTAGTGCCAAACTTGATTCGATCGACTAAACACCAAATGCAGGGACCGTACCGTGGTTTTATTTTCATATACTTCGTTCCTTTCTTATTAACGTCGTAGTACGGTCGTAGTACTCTATACTTTCTTTAGCTCTTTAAAAACAGGGCCACAGCATTAAGTTATGAAATATTTATTGACAACAGTATAATACTAAGTTACAGTCTTCTCTTCCTAGTTTTCTCTCCCCTCAAGTGGCGATTCGCCGACTTATATATTCGACAGCACAGATTGGCCGCCAAAAGTGTCACATCGTTAACACTCGTTTTGTTGTCGCCTCATCTGTTTAGTCGATCGAATCAAGGTTGACATTACAGGCTCCGCTGCCGCGGTATTCGAGCGATTAAGTGAAGTTATATTGAAAGACAATAGAGTGTGACCCACAGATACCAGCAATATCATGAGAAATACTTGGTGAATGGAAATATATTTTACGTTGACAAGAAAAAGAGATTGGGTTCATTAAGAAGAAGGACAATTCACGAACCAAGAGGGCGAGGGAGAATATTACAATATCAACAAAAATGCAATTGTATTGGACAACTTCTTTCTAGTAACTAGTTACTTATCGATCTTGATCGGTAAGTATGTTGATAGGTATTTGTCTGTGTGTTAGATACACGCGATATCTCACGAAAACGAGGCTGAATCTGTTCCAAATTTTGCATGTGCATTCATCATATCTGGGAGCAGTAGCCTATAGATTTTAGATAAATTATTGTATAATTGACGAGTTGATAATTGTTTAGTGGTGGGACACGTGGTGTCGGTCTTGAGTCAAAGGATACACGCCGCTAGATCGATAAGTCGGCGGTCTCCGATGGCTATCTCGTTGATTAATTTAGTGAGTTATATTCTGTATTTCTGTCCAGATCTTACATTGACAACGACTGCCATTATCTCCTATCAGCAGACATTTTCGTATGAGTTCAGAAAAAGTTGTCGGCATCTTCACTGCATATACGCTTGTCGTGAGACCCAGAGTTACAAGCAACTTAACTACTTTTTGTAAAACTGCGTGTTCAGAATCTGTAGTATTTTTAAAGCTGCGTACCCAGGGGGACCCGAGCCCGAGTCTTCACTGGACATAACATCTAGTCTAAACCCAGGCAAAGAGCCCTGTTCACATAATGATGTGATAAATGATAAAACGTTATTCTGGAAAATCGCTGTCATAAAAGTTCCGATGCCGAGAATAATCCAGTGTCTTTTTTGACTGTTCCAAGCCATCCACTGATGTCTGACTGACTTCCGCGTGCGTCCTATTTGTACGACTGGTACATTCGAAACCTGTCTTACTTGCTTTTGGTTTTCTTTTCTTACAGTCCATGTTGTGAGCAACATTGCTAAAGCAGCTTACATTGCAATCAGACTACGTTGTACGTATAATGAAAAAAAAAACGCAAAGTGGAGTGATCTAGCAAAGACATTATGCTAGCTATCACATTCAACGTCATTTAAACCGGAATAACCTTTTGTACTTTAATACCGTCAATCTGCGAATTCACCATTCAAAATTAAAATACCACCTTACTTTGGTGTTTTTATAGCCGATGTAAGCTTTGTTACAGCCTTCTGCTTCCTTGGCTACAGGTATTTCCACGTTCCCTATCTAATTACATTATTCCCCTAATTACATTTCTGAGTGGTTAATTCTTTTATCGTTTCTTCTCCAGGGTTGATATAGCCATTAACCAAAATAAGCATACGCTTAGCGCACCACGAGAAAGGGGCACCACAGAAATTTTCATGGGCGAATGATAATCATCAATGGTATCTCAGTGTTTAATAAAGTAATTCGAGTTGGTCAGACGATTCGGGCCTCAATATTCGCTCGGTTAACATTTTTTATTTTCTCAATCTCAAGTACCATTGTACACCTCTCTATAAATGTTTGTAGATAACAGAATTATTTCCAAAAAATAAATTAATCATAACTTAGCTTTTATTTTGTAGTGAATACTGAAACTTATTCAGATGACATGGAGCGCTAGTTTCATTATTTTAAATAAAAAGGGCACCAAAGTCTAAAGTGATTGGCGCCTCTGATAGGCCCTACCTGTGCCTATTTTTCTAAAGATAAGTCTTTATACTTACATCTGTTCAGATTTATATTCGCTGATTCTAGTATTGTTCACCCCGATGCTAGATTTGAAGATATTGTCAGGTTGCACTTGCACTGAATGACTTCGTCCCAAAACTGCAGCCGAAACATTTCAGTAAACATGCTTTTTCCAAATTATCACGGACTTTATATGCCTATTACTATCAGATATCCAATATTATGAATACTATATATAGTGAATAAAGTATTATACATAAAAATTCAATGGCATAGAGACGTGCAATAGATAAAGATACTGCAAAGGTATAGGATAGAGCAAAGACCGGATTCTCGAAACTGGAAGCTGGCTGTCAACTCTTGAACAAGGACTACGGAGCTACTATATTTGTTTATTCTCTTTTGAGTTGAATCACGTGCTTACTACAGTATTCCCAAACGCTCTGGAGAAATGGGCCGATTGTCAAAAGAGTACTTCTTGTTTTCAATTTCTTTGAGTAATAATAAGACGTTATTTGTTCTTGGGATAAGCAATATCAATTTCAATGACTTTTCATTTATGGATTTTTGATCTCCTCTTTGTGAAACATTATCATTCAGTAAATATTGGAATCAGTAAAAATGAAACAATCGTTTGGAGTTTGAAAGTTGTTCCAACTTTGCACGACACGCTATCAATTTTGATTACGGTAACAAACGAGAATATCGGTCAGAGACCGAGGACTTATCGATCAAAAGTTAGGGGATTCCCCAAACAGCGCTCTTACTCCATAGTGACACCTTATGTCCCATCACTAATTAATTAATAACTCGCTAATTATACGACCTAATTTGCCCAAAATCAATAGGCTTCTGGTCCGAGATAGGATGAATGCACATGAAAAATCTGGAGCAGATTCGTTTTCGTGAGATATCGCGTGCATCTAACAGACAGACAGACAGACAGACAAACAACTATCAACATGCTTACCGATTAAAATCGATAAGTAATAATAATTGAGATTGATGAGTTTGCAAATGCTGTCAAATGTATTGCAGCCTTTAGTGACGTACTCGTCGCATGTCATAAAGGTATGAGGTTAATTAACATAAGAGTACATGAAACATTATTTCATCGTGCGATGATTAAAACAACATACGTTATATAGTCGTTGCGATAAATACCACCAGCTTATGGGCATTGAATAGTAGCATTGCAGTACATTTTAATAAATTAAATATGTTTGACTTCGTGAGAAAAACTCTATTTATATTGCAGGCTACTGTCAGGTTGTCTCAGTATTGCAATTTCGTCAATATATATGGCATTTGTTTAATAGTTACTGTAAAATGTAAGGTCACTTATGCTTGTTTTTCAGTGCAGATTTATGAGTAATTTCACCATTGAATATGAATCACATAATAATCACGACTATATTTCAACCAAGCTCGTTCAAAAATGGCCTATGAAAACAGTACCCGCAAATAGGCAAGATATGATTTATTTTTATTCGTGTATAACAACATATCATGTGTAAAATTCTCGAATATACGTCATGAACATTTATTTAATCAAAACGTTTTGTGACAAGCCCACATTTTACTTATCTGCGATTGGTCAAGTTACGTCACTTGCTGTTTAAAATAGCTATTGTTACCACCACACTTTTGACACTACTGAACTGAGATTAGCGTAAACTCACGAGAGTGTGAAAATATATTTCAGTGATCAATTATATAATTCGACATGCGACTGTTTACAATCTCCTATCGGATGTTAGAACTTTAGTGACAAACGCGTGAGTTTTATTTATTTATTTTTATTAAGTTCATATTTATAATAGTAAATCTAAGCTCACCAACTGTGTGATGCAGGATGGATCGCAATATTCGCAGTAGTGCATGGGTTTAGGACGGTACACATAAGTTTAGGAAATTACCAATGGAATACTAAAATACCGCTACTATGAGCAAAGACCAAATTTATCATTATTTCGTTTGAAGAGTCTTTTTATAAAAATCATATCATTTCTTTTAATTAAGCAAGTTAATCTACACTGTTTTGTTTTGTCTACGGACGGAAATGTTTAGAAATAATTACTTATTGCAATTGATTCAATGATTCAATTGTATAGTTATATATTCGTAAATATTGTAATATATGTTAGTATAGTATTTTTAATTTGAATTGATCAATGGCGCAAAAGACCACTGAAGTTATAAGCGCCGTAAAACATATAACAACAACAACTAATCTACACTGGAAGCAATAGTGAACCTATTCCATCGCAAACAATAGAAATGAGAACTATTTTAACGACAGAATAGTAATAGAAAGTTATTTTTATATTAAGGGGAACAAACCCAAATTGCATTACACATCAAATTAGCACACATACAACTTAGTAATATTTCTTGTTAACAAAATAGTTTCCTTAACGTCACTAATATTAGTCAGTCTTGTCAGAACCAGTTCTCCCGCGATATTTTACCCCATTTTGTTTTTAATTGAAGGTCATACCTAATTTGAAGTGTAACAAGTATTAGAAATACAATAATAATTTGTGCATATATTATTTGATTTGCAAATGAAATGAAATGCAATAAGACTAATTTGAATAGGCTAGTTATTTGCGTCGTTTCTCCAAGTTGTGCAATTTAATTGCTTTTAATTGGTGTATTCAAGGAGGCCACTACTCGAAATATATATATTTCTATTTGAATTTCGTTATCCCGAGTACATTTTTGTCATGATTAACCGCTTGGCATACCGTGATTTTTTCATTACCTTTGTCAAACGTCAAGCGTTTTAACTTGTTTTTAAATCTAAGTTATGACCAGCTATATTGATACTGATTTCGTGATAATGTTCACAACCGTTGAAAATGTCAACATTACATTGATACATCAAATGTACTGTAATAGTTTGTGAGACTCGCACTTTTCAGTAAACTAGGGTTCAGCTCACAAAACCCGTTACGCGTACTTGTGGTATTCCACCCATTATTCCATTGAGTCATCTACCTCGACAATAACCGTGTTTGTGGCTATTAAAGCGTGGAGTATTCCGCCATATGTCGCTCACCCAAGTGCAGTCTCGGATTTCTTCTCGGTCTGCGGTAGCTAACATCGATCGAAAACAATTTTAAATGTCGCAGAAGCAGTTTTACCAGAGCTCTAACAGAGACCTCGAGCCATAGTGAAGCTCACGATGTGGTAATACCTCCGAATCGAATATCGATTAAAAATGCTCGTTTTTCTTATTAGATTATTAAATTAATCGATACAAATCGTTGTTTATCTCTATAATAACTCGTATTGATTTGCATCGGTATTTTTTTTTATACCTGCAATTTTGTAGTTTATTTGAATGTGCAACCCCCATCTCTATTTGACATAGACTGGTAGCGGTAGGTAGGGTCATGTAGCATTACAGTCATAACATAGTTTTTGAAACTGTTATAGTACTTCGGTCGCAGGACCCAAGTTGCACGAAGTCTAAACGTTGCCTCGAAAAGGTGCAAGAGAATATAAAGCGACTATAATAGAAATGACAAAAAAATATTGGACACAACAGTAAGTTCAATAACGCCTTTTCGTTTGACAGGAACGTTGAAATCGAGACAATATCAATGGATGAAGTCCTTGATACCGATTATATACCAGAGTTAGCAGATCCATACTGCAACAAAGACAATCCAGTGATAGTAACGCCTGGAAGAATACTTGATGCCCGAGATGAAATTAAAGATGGAGTGGTACGAACTCCATGTACGGTTAGAACCATAATACTTAATTGGTTTGTTTTGAATTGTATATTATCAATCTCAAATTAGCTATGGTGTTGTTTTTCAACAGAATCATATTAATTGATTAATTAATTAACAGAGAACCAGACTATCGGATCGTATAGGATGCAACGTTTACTTCAAGAAAGAGTTCATGCAATTCACTGGAAGGCAAGTCAGAGTTGCTTCTAATTTAAATTTTTTCCTTCTTTGTTTTATACCTGATGTTTTGACTTCAAGCTTCTGCTCCACGTCTCGTGCCAATCGTCAATTACTGACGCGCGAAAAGCACTTCGATAATTGTACATAATTTTAGTATATCATATCATTTCAGTAGTCACTTTTTCTCGGAGATGAGGGATTCAGTACTCTTGAGTGTGCGCGCGTGACTTGCTTTGCTCAGTGGTTTAAGATTTATTTTTCGCTAGAAGGCTATTACTTTCATTTATTTTAAAAAGTTCTGCGGCTCTATAGGATTTGTTTTTTGTGTGATGACTTCATCAAAATTAAAAGCTGCGCTTCTTGTGGCGGTTCCACTTTCGCGTAAGTTCAAATTCGCTGCTCAGCTGCGATACGGTACCGGTAGGCTACCGTGAGATTGCATACCAAATCGTGTCCATATGTTCGAGCTCTCTTGTTAACAATATAATTTGTTTTACTTACCTTCTGAAACTTATAGTACCACTATATATAAATGATTTCAGTATCTCATTGCATTATAGTGGTCACCTAACTTTTTCCAAAAGAGGAGTATCCACCACTAACTCAGGAGTAGTTATTTTGACTCAATCATGAATGATTTTTATTGAATAATGAATTTGGTAATTATAATTTTATCTTTTTTTCTCTAGTTTCAAAGATAGAGGCGCATTGAATTCCTTGATGAATTTAACGGAAGAGCAAAGAAAGCTTGGCGTAATCACAACCTCCGCCGGTAACCACGCTCAATCTGTGGCATATCAAGGTGGAAAACTTGGTATACCGGTTACAGTGGTCATGCCAAAGACGACACCATTAGTGAAAGTAGGTTCAGTTTTGAGGATGATTTAAACTTCGCCAGATTTGGACGTGAGTTTTTCTATAGCTATATGACTACTTGAGAGGGTATCGGAAGTTCACCTGAAATTCGAACCAAGCTTATTGATCAACAAACGTTTATACGTCTCGAATCACATCATGCTATTACTTGAACAATTGGATCTTGCACGAATTCCTCAGCTATAGATGTTTGATAGTATAGTATTCTGAATTTGAACAGCCCCATTCATACAAATGTAGAGTGATTTATTTATCTTGCGCGATATCTTTCTCGATAAATGCTGTTCTGTTGAATTTTTTATCATTTCCGCTCTTTTAGTATTTTTATTTTCTGTTTTAAAGATTAATAGCTGCAAAGACCTGGAAGCAAATGTTATTCTTCACGGAGACAGATTTGACGAAGCAAAATTTCGCGCTCTCACACTTCGAAATGAAAGAAATCTTGTTTATATTGATGGGTATATATCAATATTCTCTACTTTGAAGCCACATCCTCGTTGATGTTTTGATAGTCTAATTAGGAACTCTCATTATGTTCGTGAGGTTGAAATGAGCATAGAAACTGCTTGTTTACGCTACTATTACAAATCATAAGCTAATGTTGATTAACGCTCTTAACTCTAACTGCTCAATAGTCTAGTAAATGTCCAAATAATTCAGCCTACTGCCCATTATCGTCCACTGCCTTGTATATTCACCTAATATTGAATTATTCATACCGATACTATAACCGTCATTTCTCGCCGAGGTTTTATCATTTTCAATATACTTTTTTCAAGATTCGATCATCCTGATGTGTTGGCTGGTCAAGGAACAGCAGGCATTGAGATTATGGAAGACGTACCCGATGCAGACTATATTGTTGTTCAGATAGGTGGTGGTGGATTGATATCCGGAGTCTCGGTTGCGGCAAAATATATAAACCCAAATGTCAAGATCATTGTAAGCTTAAAATCTAACTGAATCAAATTTGTATTATATTAAATCTATTTATGCAATGAACAAGTGCAGAAAATTGTTATCTTCAGGCATTTTAATGTTTGGTTAGTCTTCGCCGCGCTATCTCCTTGATAAAAAGTTTCAAATTTTTAAGGGCGTCGAATCAGAACGATGTCCAGGGTGGCACACGGCCAATGAGCACGGACGACCAGTCAAATGTTGCAGAACTATGAATGGAGCTACGCAATCGATTGCAGACGGATTAAACGTTTTGAGAGTAAGTGGTATCACGTTAAGCGTCTTTCGGTGCTGTGCCTCAGCTTTGAATTGTCTGCCGGTGGTTTTTCGTCACAAGTTGTCGCGTGCCCTCTTTATTCATACACGCACGAGTGTCTAAAAATCATTGTTTCAGGACGATTCCCTTCAGGAAATTATGTTATACGATTGTCTGGCGATAAGAAAAGTGTGTTATATCTGAATTTAGCAAAAGGCATGCTCATGCATTTAGTCGTTATTGATGCCTCACAAAAAATTGAGTCTCTTTACGAATCTTATAAATATCGCAATTGAAAATATTTGTACAGGTTGGATATAACTCATTTGCAACGGCACAAATTGATAAGCTTATATCAGTTCCAGAGAAGTATATTACTACAGCCATACTACATTTATTAGAAGGAGAAAAATCGGTGGTGGAAGGAGCAGGTGCAATCGGATATGCAGCATTGCTTTCGGATAAACTACCTGAAGTGAAGGGCAAAAAGTGAGTTTCGGTGCAATGTGTCAGTAAATTTTTCATTGTGTTTATTGTCTCATAGTGGCGTTAGTAGTTTGCTTGTCATTAACCTGAAATCTAACGATAGCGAAACTTGTGCTAATTGCAAACTAAAATTGTCCTTTTCTTCCCCATAGAGTTGTATGCATCTTAAGTGGAGGCAATATAGATGCAAACATCTTGACACATGTCATAGATCGAGCATTAGTACAAGAGGGAAGGCTATCACGATTTTTAGTGGCTGTGACTGACCGACCTGGCGGTTTGGCAAGACTTACAGATATGTTGTCTGATTTAGGAGCAAGGTAAGTAGGCGTATACAGATTGTAATGGCGCATTGATTTTGGAATATTATTTTATGATCCATGCGCAAATTTGAGAAGGAGCAAACGATTCTTATGTTTTCTCCGAAGAAATAAATATATATACATATATATATAGGGCTCGAGTGGAATGTGAATGTCATTTACTTGAAACGGTTGTCACATTGGTACTCGAGGTGTATAGTGCATTTTCACCACGACCAAATAGCGTCTGGCCGAATAGCCACTATTGTTTATTGTACGGATAATGGGAATGATGAGGGATGATCTTCAAATGCTAACAGAGTCGGGTACTATACGCTCTGATATATATATTCATTAGAATCCATTTTAATTATAAACTGAGAATTATCATAATTATATATAGTCCACCCCTGTGCCAGCGATTGAATGATGGGATCTAAAGATTTCATGATTGGCATATGTAGGGGAAAGTGGGGAAGGTTGGGACACTTTTTTTCTTTTGCATATTTTGAGCCGTTAATTCTGCATATTCTCTTAAGTTTGCGGGACTAATGCATAGAGGGGTAAATGTAGTTTTTATTCAGCAGCAAAGAAATTCCCTTGCGACACACATCTTACTACCAAAATGTTTTGAAAAACGTCTGTCAAGTGTCCCACTGTACCCCACTTGTGGGGCACAATCGGACACACCCTGGGGCACAATGGGTCAGTCTGTCAAAATTCAACGAAGTATGCCCTTAAAAATAAGCAATTAATCAGCATAATCGTCTAAAGTACCGTGAGACTTCGAATTTGAAGATTTAATATTTTTAAAATCAATGTTCAACTGAAATAGTTCAGATATTTTGACAAAACATTTTGCAAAAAAATTTGATTATTTCCTTCCTCGAATCTAAATCTGGAAATATTATTGATTCTCGAATATATTCCATATTGGGCCATGGGTCGAAAGAAACCATTATATTACACAAAATATAACGCATCTCTAAGTCTCTAAGCACTTATTGTATAAAACACTGTCGAATTGTGCCCTGTAGAGCATGTCCCACTGAACCCCGGTCCATTGTTCCCCATAGGAAACAAATACTTTCAGACCATCCCACGGCAAAATTCGGAAGGCACAGCCAATCGCTAACGCTAGGATATTTTACAGTGGACTGACGCTAAAGAATATCAGACGATGGTTTGTCTCGTTGGAAAGGCTAAACTAAAAAAAAGAAAAAACTGGAACGGTGAAATTTTTTTTTCAACCTCCCAAAACCAATTTCACCTCATAGCTTGCGCCGCTCTACCCGTCCGTTGTCCGTTCGCGGGGACGTTGTAACTCACCGAAGGGCGGATTGGAACATCGAGTCGCGGACAGGATTGTGGATATAGTATCAGTGTGATAGCTGATTTTCCACTGTGCCCCATGTCCCAACGTACCCCACCTTCCCCTATATTTATAATATTCTATATAGGGAGGCTGCTTGATGTTTTTTTGTTTTAATGATTTAATCACTGTCCATATATCATAACATTACAGCATCAAAGACATTGGTCACGACAGAATGTCTTTGCCTTCTCACGTCTACATGGCGGCAATTACCTGCACCATCGAAACCAGGAACAAAGGTCATGCAAAACTAGTCCGTGAACAACTAGAACAATTTTACAAAAATGACCTCAAGTGGCAACAATTTCACGATGACAACGCACTTCATTAAGAAACCAAAAGTGTCGAAAAGCAGTGATGTTATCAGACGCATATATTTAACCAACTCTGCCTCCTAATCAAATCTACGAGTGTCCATATTTTGCACATTTCTGTGTAATTTTATAGACTTGATCGCGATCTTTTAGGTTATTTTTCCATTGCTTATCTTTTCATGCTTTATTTCTATTTACTTTATTACAACTGGAATCATAAAACAGTTTAATCAGCGACAGACCCAATATACCAATAGTTTATTTTTGAACTCGAAATCACACCATACATAGAAAATTGGCACAAACAGCACAAAACAATTTGACTTTTTGGAGTACTGCTGAAAACTAGACTAGACTTTAAAAACGAAAAATTACGAGCAGTCACACCTTAATAAAAAGAAATAAAAGCAGGTTTTTATAAAATCTGGCAGTCATGTTAATTGTTTTCAAATTCTTTTGAACCTAGCGTTTTCAACTGAAAAGTTCTCCCGTTTCATTCAGACATTTTTGCATTAGGTAGGGTTTTCATACTTATTCAGGAGCTGAGGAAAGCCGATAAGACAACTCAACCAAAAATCATATGACGAACCACGCCCACTTGCTCGTTCACGGTCTATGTTAGGTACAAAAATAGTTTACTATTAACTTTTTAAGATGCGTTGATAGTGGATGAGGACCACCCTACGATGGTGAGGATTCCGCCAATCCTCTCGCCAACCGTTGAGGCTATCAAACAAACCATTCGTAGGCCATTGAATATCTACCATACCATTGTGTTGAAGACATCCGGGGAATTCTCCTCACGAGTGAATCCCAATCGTGAGCGTATTTCGAAAACGAGAGGAAGGTCATTTTAGGCAGAGCACTATATTAATTATATTTAATCATATTACCCCTCAACAGCCACAAAGTATATCTGAACATAAAATTTTAATCCTGATTCCTGAGCGCTGCAACTCACGTAAGCAGCAAAGCATTTGATGTATCGTTTGTGTTGACTGGAAGTAATGATAGTGCCGCTGCTTGAAGGCAATACGAGGGTCCTCGCGAAATCTGTCCCACAATTAAAATTAGTTACCGTGATTTTTTATATTCAATGTTTCTCATAATGTTCTTATATTGTGTTGATAAATAAATGATTATCAATTGATTGTGAAAATGTTTGCTTTACCGGTGTGTATGTGCCTCACTTTCGCTATCATATGAAAGATCTGCCGAGTTGCCTCTAACTAACCCTTCATATTTACAAATGTGGTACTGGTACAGTTCACTAATTATAATAAATGCTTTTGCAAATAGCCTCTACATATACTTCTAATAATATATGTTCCAACTAAGATGAAGTCAAAATAAACTCATAATGTACTTACCGCAGGATTAAGATTAAAAGGCATGACGTCGGTTTCGTGAGCGGCACGTGCTTGAGTCTATTGGTCAAAAGGTAATGTTGCCGAGAATTTCTGGTTTTGTTGCAGGAGCATGTTTTCATAATTCTGTAATTTACCCGGGTTGGCGATTGTTTCTATTTATTTTTTTACTTCGAGACGTTTTCAAAATCAGCATCTCTAAACTAGAGTAGCGCACACTTGCTAAGTTAGGAAGATAATTTTTCTAATAGCCTAATGTCAGAATAGCCGAATAATTCGCTTTGCTCAGTGACTGCAATAAATATCAGAATATCTTGGGCTTGGGTGAATCTGTAGGCTAAATTGATTTTGCTACATACCGTACTGCTGTACTGACATACGGTACGGTTTTACTGTTAACCACATACATTCATATCTTTATCTGTATCCACTACCGGTATCCTATCAAACGGTGGAACGTTAACCGGTTCAGACTGACACAGATATGCTGATACTGTGATGAAGATGAAGAAGAAGAAGATTTTATTTCGATTCATTCGCAAAAACAAAATAAATATATATACACAAAAGATTAAGGCGAAGAATCTGGAAAGTGAACAAAACCTAATAAAATAGGTTTAAAACGTATTAAACGCGTTCACTTACCAAAGAAGGAAGAAAACGAGTCACAAACACAAACAAATAAACATGAATATTGACGGCAGTCATTACTCAGGCGTTTCACTTGGTAATCAGGTTGCGTGCAATCTTTTCAAAAACAAAACAGTGAATTAAATATCCGCTGTGCGTGTGATGCGGCATGTAAACAAACAATCCGAAAATTCCTAGAATGAGGTGCGAAGGCATGTTTCCGTTCCATACTCAAAAATATATCTAGTAAAATCTACTAAAACGTTAACACACCAATGTAAAAATCGATGGGAATTTTCAAATATCAGCTCGTGCAGTTTAACCGTAGTAGTATATATTTACGGTTTGACATTTGTATATCCGGTCTTCTCCATATTTGAGCAGAGCATAATTTCGTCCATCACAAAATCTTCCATTTTGCACCCATGTTGCACATTTCCAGTTCATCATTAAAAAATCTGCTATTTCTGTTATTTGTTTATTGATGTCACTAAGTCTGGGATCCACTTCTCGAATGTATATCTTCGGCTCGAGGTAGCCACGTCCGCACACGACGGCGGTCGGTACTGTCTCGTGTAGTTTCGTACCTAACGTACTTCTAGTCGACGTAGCATAACAATTTTTTGATATGTCAGTCCTAACCCCCATCTGATTACGCCATCCAAAAATCAAATCACTACGACATCACAATCACGTCATAGAGCTTGCCAAATATACTCCTGTTTCTAAGCTTACAATGACTGTGATATGACATTTTCCTGCAGTCAGGCATTGCAGGAGTCAGGAAAGTCACGGTACGGGTACACAGTACGGAATCAACCACAGTTTGAGCGTACACCTGTACACAGATACCAGTAGATCTATACTTCAAATATATTGAGCCTGTAACTGATTATACGTTTTTTATTTCAGCATTTCAAACATTAAAAGGAATAACAGAATAATGGATGCTAATTCTGATAAAGGTTTTGCCAGTGGTAGTTTGGGTGATGTTGATGAATATTCAAAAAAAGTATTGAGTGCTTTAATGACAACTATCAAAGCAAGTAGTAGTTTGCCTCACTCTTCAGATGATTTCGACTTGTACAGCAGCTTTCCTGGTTTTCGCGCATTCTATAACAAACAAGGTTCAAGGATTTTATCAAACATCAACTCATTTCTACATCATCAAGGAATAAAGACTTTGCCACAAACTGATGGACAAACGAGTAGTGGTAATGTTGATGTAGATGATCATTACGATCGTATTGTTGAAGCAAATGACATGATGTTGGAACAAATATCCACATTATTAGAACAAGCTACTGCACCGAAAAAGGACAATTCACAACCTGATACTGATGTCGTTATTCAGCAACCGCTAGTTTTCATTCCGAAAACTAAGCCGGTTGTTTCGTCATGGAACAGAGAAAATAAATATGGCAAACAACAAACTTTCAAATTATTCCATGCACATAATATTATGAGGCCACAAACGAAATTCAAAGATAAAATTGACAACAGTAATCTACCTTTTGTTCCAAAAATTACAGAGAAACCAAATGCTGTGAAACAGTTACCGAAAGCTTTAGTAAATTTACATTCACAGTCATCTGATGGTGGTGTTTCACTTGCCATTGTCAATTTGGTAAGACAAGGTAGAGAATATAACGCAGAAGATCAAAATATATATGGTCACCCATATGAAACGGAGCTTGCAAATTTGAAATTTTTAAACGAGCAGCTTCAAAGAGTCGAACCACAAAAATATGATCCTTTCCCATCAGAGCCATGCCAGGTTATCACGAATATAAATGAATTGCTAGATGTTATTGAGCACTTGAAATCTTGCCCTGAATTTGCAGTTGATCTGGAACATCATTCCTATCGATCTTTCCAAGGTATAACCTGTCTCATGCAAATATCATCGAGATCAAAAGACTTTTTGATCGATACATTAGAACTACGATCAGAAATTCACAGATTCAATGAAGTATTTACAAATCCTAATATTGTAAAAGTATTTCATGGTGCTGATTTTGATGTGCATTGGTTGCAGCGCGATTTTGGAGTGTATGTTGTTAACATGTTTGATACTGGTCAGGCCGCAAGAGAAATGTGTTTAGGGCATTTTTCTCTTGATTATTTGTTGCAAAAGTATTGTGATGTTCATGCAGATAAAAAATATCAACTTGCGGATTGGAGAATCCGGCCGATACCAGAAGAAATGAGAAAGTATGCGCAAGAGGATACTCATTATTTGTTATATGTATATGATATAATGAAAAATGAACTTCTGGACTTGGGTGCCTCAGGTCAAGCTTCTGGTACCACAAGACTACTCAATACTCTATATAGAAGTCGTGATGTTTGCCTACGAAAATATGAGAAGTTTCTACTTACGCCTACATCACATCTTAAATTATATGAGAGACGGAAAAGCAGAAAACAACTTAATAACAAGCAACTTGAGCTTCTGAAATTGCTTTTTGAGTGGAGAGACACGATGGCAAGACAAGAGGATGAAAGCCCTGGTTACGTTTTACCTAATCATATGCTTTTTCAAATCGCTGAAATCATGCCCAGAGAGGCACAGGGAGTACTTGCATGTTGCAATCCAGTACCACCTCTTGTCCGTCAACATGTTCATGCAATTCATCAGTTAGTTTTGGAAGCAAGAGCAAAAGGCTCTGGTAAGAAGACAGATGCATCACATATCAGCACACCGACTGAAGTACCCGTTCCAGCAAAACCTGATGAAGATGCTTATGATGATATATTGACTTGCCCACATGACTTATCTAATTTTGATCTTTCTACACCAAACACTAAACCTAAACCGCCGCAAGTATCGACTGCTCCACAATCGTCATTTCTCTGTAACGACGGTCGTCCTCAACCATTACTAACAGGTCAATCTAGTAATCCAACCAGTCATATGCAAGAAGCAAATTGGGATCCATTTTCAAAGTATTTTCCCCCTAAAAATAATTTGCCAAACGCACCAACAAAATGTATAACATCTCTTGACGATGTAAGCTTGAAAACAATGCTGAGTCTTGAATATGCTTGGAAATTGAAAAATCTTCATGGTGATAAACAAGAGCAAGCAGAAGAGAAGAAGGTTGTACAAAAACAAAAGCAACAAGAAGAAGATGTTATTATATTGAGTAATTTACCACAAGTTCATGGACAGAAGCGTCACCCACAACCAAATCAAGATAAAAAGATGTCGAGACATGCCAAAAAGAAAGCGAAGAAACTTGCAGTAAATTCGGATATACAACCATTTGAATATACCCAAGAGCATTATAAAAGATTCCATTATCATAAAAAATGACATTTTCGGACATTATCAACCTACTGTCATATTCTATTATGGAATAATGTAATTCACAGCTGTCCGTAATGTGCTGAATAGTAGTGAATACGGAGAGATGCTATATCAGATCCGTCTGGAAGATAATAAGTGGTACAGATATTTCTCTGTTCAAAAAATTTTAATTTGGATTCACCTACTCTTCTCGACTGCCAAAATTTTTGCATGCACTGATTTAGTTCATTTAATGAAATTCATTGTCTTTTTGGCCAAATATAAAGGAAATATTTACAATTTTTCCTTCATGACGCATTGTGTTGGTATTGTGTAGTTTTGGATATCAGGATAGGGGGGATTTCTGATAGACATTAATTTTTGTCTTGGCGAGTCATGGGGTATGGCGCAGGGGCTAAGGGACACAAAGCTGGATAACCTAGGGTAAAGTCGAGGTTTTGTTTGGATACTCCCGTAGTATGTGTACCGGATTAGGCCTCATGTTTCTTTATTTTAGTTCGGGACTGTCTTTGTTATCCAAGTGAATATCCACCCTGCCCATAGGTTTCAGTCTCTTTACACGACTTGATGTAAAGTAGACGAACAAAATTATTTCCTCCATATTGGTACACATAGTTCTGGAGCGCTGTTGTTTGTTGGTCTCGCTCCATGCTCCCACATCTACCAAAAAATAGAGATCCATGTGTTTAGTGTCAGCTTGTCAAGAGCCTTGTTCAGAGTATAGAATCCTAATGGAATTAGGTATTACTGATGTTGGGCCTGTATTCGAATCCGGAATTGCAATATAAGATAAGGTTAAGTAATTAATTATTCAGGAAGCAGTTTAATTATGCAGCAAACTACAACTCCATCTGGATTCGAAATTTGTTTGCTTGTGGGCGTATAAGACGAATACCTGCTTTCAAGCCGAGTCCAGCAGCTGTAACCAATGTTCCTTCTGATTTTTTGTAGTATGTGTGCGCAAAAATTTTGGTGTGTGCGCATTTTTTTGGAAATGACTAATATTTGTGCAAAAACCAATAAAGAAATTTTGGCGTTCTAACCGGGTAATAAGTGGGCCAACAACAAACTTTCTCAACCTGCCAACCGAGCACATTGTTACATTACAAACAAACTTTCTCAACCTGCCAACCGAGCACATTGTTACATTACATCGAAATACGTCTGTGCGCAGTAAATCTATGCGTGTGCGCAGCCTCTGTAAGCTGTGTGCACGCGCACACCTTAGAGGGAACACTGGCTGTAACCCATGATTATTTTTTTCATGACATTTACGACAGACAGAGCTCAAGGTATATTTGATCCATCTTATCTGCCATTCTCAAGGAAGCCAGGCCCAGATTCCATTACAGACAATCTTTTTCAGCACTGATGACAAACTCAATATCCTTTCTACTAGTCAAGACATAAATACATATTATGGAACCATCTCATTCAATTGTTCAAACAGCAATCAATCAAACAAATCATTCTATTTCATGATGAATCAATACCGAAATGAATGTATGTGAAAAACAAAGTGTTATGTAAATATGCTTTTCTCATAACTTCAAGACGGGCAGAAATACAGCCTCGGGACTTTAACAGGCATGATTTTAATCGAAGGTTATAGCAAGCCCACAATTCATCGAAGATGAAAATATGGCAATGCCTAAATTGATATTGCACAAAATGTTAAGGCGTACCGTTATAGAATAAGATAACAAACGAGCTGTATTTTTATATATATATATGAAAATTATAAAATAATTAATGGTATGTTAGATAATCATCGATTCAATATTTCAGAAGGTTCGTTGAACAGTTCTAATAACAATAAACATCGAATTCGAATTATTTAATCTCTAATGCAGCAGGATTAATATGGTGCCTAAATAAGCTATAGTTGATAGTTGCAACATGGAACAATTTTAGTAGAAGAAAAATTGAGACAAATAGAATAGTCAAATGTGGGCATATGAATGTACCATTAATAAAAATAGTACTATATAAAAAAAAAATTTCACACTATCAAAAAGCAAAATCAAAATTAATACAAAATTGAATATATTTAAATATTTTAGATTATGAGTTTAACTCAACAACACAATTTCAAGCTGGTTTCCATCAAATTGCAATTTCTCATCTTGGATTTCATTGTTGACTAGGTTCTTTAAGTTGTAGTGAATAATTAACAGACTTTGAATTGAATCTACGAAAAATAGAGAGTTTGAAAACTAACATTATTCATGGTAATGAAATTATAAATGTAGTATTTCCATAACTCAGCGATTCCCAAACTATTTATTCGTGCGTTGCCAAATTATCAGGGAAAGAAATCACGACACTCTTGCCGCCATCAAATAAAACTCAATTTTGTGATAGTAATGCGAATTTATGCCTTTTTCAAGGTTTGAAAACATGCAGGCCTAAAGAATAAAGGCAATGTCAACTCTTCTTTCTTATCCCGGCCTGATTTTCCTTTGAAGTACCAAAAAAATCACCAGTGTTCGCTAAACTTGGTTCAGCAGATAAACACCAGCTCACGAGAGTGCAGCAAACAGTGTCTACCCATAATGTTAAGTAAGTCCTCTATATGTCAGGGGTAAGAAGACGCTAAATATCTCATTTTGAAATAGATTTACTTACCTTAGATAGCATTTCGAATACTCTGATGTGGCATATTTACAGTAATGTTGTAATGCCCTAACATAAAAAAACTTCCAATTTTTCAGCATTGTTCAAGAAAAAGCAATCATATTTTTCAAAATTTTATTTTGAGTTTCGGCCAAGCTAACTGCTTTTAAAAAGCCTTTTACATAGAATGAAGAGATAACAAATATGTATAATTAAATGTAAGTCACTAACCTTGAAAACCTGTTGTCAAATTCAAAAGTGTAGATTCCGGATTGTTTCGAAACCATTTTCCCTTGAACAGGTTCAGAATGAGAATCACATCGACATCTTGGTATTAGATTATGTTCTTCTGATTCCTAATATTCAAAGTTTATGAAATTATAGTGAGACAGATTAACAATGGTAACACATGCAATGACTAATCAATTACATAAAAGTTGAAGTTTCTTTGGTCGACAATCAGACAATAGAAATATGCAGGCCTCGATAAGAACACCCAAATTTTTTTCAAGCGACCCAAATTCGAAAAAAAAAAATTTTGTGAAATCTTGCGACCCAAGAATATACTCGCGTACTAAACGGCATATAGTGCTTTCATTAAATTAATGTCTAATATAGAACAGTCAATTTTTCATAGCATTCATTTCAACAGAAATTGATTGAAAATTGCACTGGTAGTGAGGTTGCGCTTGTTTGCTGTTGGTAAGTTAAACCAAATAGATGATGCCAAGATTTTACACAGTGATACTTCTCGCATATACAATTACTACTGAGCAATACCAAATATAAATAAACAATAAAATTTCCTAAAAAACAAAAGTTGAAAAACCAAGCGACCCAGTTTTGGGTCGCGACTCGCGATATATCACGAAAGCGGACCGGAAGCCCATTGATTTTGGATGAATTATGTCGTATAATTAGCGAGTTATTAATTAATTAGTGATAGGACACGCGGTGTCGCTATTGAGTCAGAGCGAAGAAATCGAACCGCAAGATCCATAAGTCGACGGTCTCCGATCGCTATCTAGTTAACTTCTTCTCTTCTGGATTAATAGAAAAATTTCAGACCCACCTCTGAAGAAGCGTAAGATAACTGAAAATCAATGCTTCGATCGGATGAAAATTTCCACAACAAGGTAGTACCAGGTGTTTTCACATGAATAGGAACTTTTAGAAAATCTCCAGCAGCTACAACAGCTTCCTGTGATTCATCTGACAAACTATCGATGTTATCTGAAGGCAAACTTGCGATACTATCCCTGGAATAAAGAACTGGCTTTCAAATTGAGAAAAATCAAATTTTGTGCCCACATAGGTATCATTATAGAGATGTTGATATCTGTGCTATTAGTATTTTGTAGTCAATTCTATCACAACAAACATCGAATAAACTTATGAAATACAAATTACCATTCGTAATGGAAAACCTCACTGAAAAACATATTTTTCAACTATTCTGTATTCGTTAAAACCATATTCTTTGGAAATGACCATGGAAAGCACTACATACCATTTAGTATTCAGGCATTTTTTTAGGTTGTAAGATTTCACATTGTATTATAATTTTTTTTTTAAATTTGGGTCACCAAGAATAAGGTCTAAAAGCAATGAAGCAATACCTTGAATGTTCAGAACTCATTTTGGCATTTGGTGTATGGAAAATAGAGTCATTATTAGATGAGTGTGGAGTTTCGGTTTCAATCGAATCATTTAATTCTTCATCCGTAATGGAATCAAATTCAGCGTCATTTGGCATGGTCGTTGCAACACCTTTGATCGGGGAAGATTCCATATTCTGAGACGGAACTTTGGATGTCAATGATTTAATTTCTAAAATAGTAATAAAAGAACATATAATCGCGAGTAGCCACTTAAAATTTTTGTTTTACAAAAAATTGAACATGGATCAATAGTGCCCTACAAAGTTAATGACTAGTAACTAAATTTGTTTCATGCCTATTCGGTTGGCCTTAAATCAGCAGCAACATTGCAAAAATGAGTATCTGTATATAAACTAGAAAAATATCTGCTAGAAAATGGGATATAGCTAGTAGTCCCTAAGCCAATAATGATTGCCTTGTGTAAGATTTGCATGTACAAACCCGATGAGAAAAGAAAACGTGTAATATTATTAATTAGTTTCTTGATGCCATGGAGCGGCGGATCTAACACTGCTGAATTGACGAAAGTTTAAGATTTTGGCTAAGTTCTAGTACGCTAATAATTTGCGTTCGCTAACACCTACCATTTCTTTTTTTATGTAGTTCAAGACAAGATAAACAACATCGTTCGTGCTTTCCATCTTTTTTCGTTATTATCCATTGCTTTGAACAATCATTACAGAAGATTTTTCCACATAACCTGAAAATATAAAACGTTTAAACTATATTTTCCATATATAGCTGAATTGACTTCAGCCTTCACACCTTGCTGTACTCATCGAGGACAAACAATTAAAGTAAATTAAAGACCATTAAACTAAACCACACAAGGCCATAGACAAGCAGATAATCGACAATGCTCAAAAGCAGTGGTTCCTGAAGTTGATTGATCGAGGGCCAAAATTAGAAGCAAGAGGATATTCGCAAGCCAGAGAGCCCTCGCAAGGAGCCGATACCAGTACCGGTAAGGATAATTAAGACACCAGAACCATTGAATTGTTACAAATATATACAAGATAAAACTGTGATATCGACGTAACATTTGGCGGTGTTTGGAAACACAATGCTCGTTAGACAAGCAGATAAGACACAATGCTAATAGTCTTGCGCAATAAATGCATTGCTTGATAGGCAGGCATGAAACACAAGTGTTTAGGCAAGCAGATAAAAACCAAAGAATTGACAATTTTCGAAGTGCAATATTATTAGTTCCCTATTTGTCCCTAATATTATACACTCTAGTTAGAATAGCCAACATAGGGTTTAAACTTCAAATATTCAACCTGTAATACCAACGTGGTAATCCTAACATAATATATCCCTAATACCTATGTGACACACAACAACACTTCATGTTTCTCACCTGCAGTGATGTTTCCTTATTATAAAATTAAATTGAGTTCCACAATATAAACAATATCTTGCTTCCTGATCTTCCATCCATTTTCCTTCAACACCTTCGCCTTCTTCTTGTAGTTTTTGAAGATATCTCAGCTCGTCACATTCCTTCCAAAGAGCGTCTTTTTCCCTATGAATAGTATTTAAATGATGATTTTTATTTCAAGTCCATGTAACTGAAACGAATAACTAGTTACCTACTTCTATACCCGACATGGACTGGTAACCACACGAGAAGCCATAGTTTGTCATATGATCGTCTTATTGCCTTTCCTCTACCCATGATAAATATGAAAATCCTCCGAGGCTGTGGTACCCAAACATTTAGGACTCGTGGCTCCCATTCCATGGGCTTTTAACATGCATGCCCCCCCCCCCCCTCCTTCACCATTCCAAAAATAAGTTATAAGTAGAATAGGTTTGACTGTAATCTGAATGTTCTGTGATGATTAAACTATGGAGAATGAACAATAAATTTTTGCAAAAAGGCAAAAGTATGCCAACATAATCGAATTATAATCAATTTGGAACCACTGCTATAAGGAGTGTGTCAAAATAGAAAATTACTATATTACATACGTGGAATAATGTTCAAAAGTCACTGTCAATAGGTTTTTGACCCAAAAAGTTTTAAAGGCTATTGTTTTTTGGGTGCAGAGACAGAGAAATATTCTATTACTCAAAATTTTAATGAATTGCTCTGTATCTTTACTCCGAATGAGGGGTCACACAAGCAGCCGCAACTACTATAAATAATAAATCTTCCAAGAATTTTATTACACAACCTGTGAGATATTGTAGATATAGAATTTTAACTCAAGATCTCTAAAATTCTAACACTCAGCTGCGTTTACTTACTGTAATAGCTGAATAAGTTTAGCTTTCAATTCACTTGACACAGATTGCATCTCTTCCATTTCAATTTTTAAATTATCTTCTCTTTTCAATCCTTGAGATATTTCATCTTTCAACTAAAATGTAAATCATAGATTAATATAGCTTAATATTTAAAAAATTGGTTTATTTAACAAGTCTGGTTTACCCAGATAATATCAATCTTACAATTGGAGATTACCGGTATTTGATTAAAAATCTCAAAAATACTATTTACCTTAATTGCATCTTCTCTTTCTGCTTCCAACTTTTCAGCCATTTTTATAAATTCTTGTTCAATGGCTCGGTAAGATGTTGAAGATTCTTTTTTTTCCTCTTCGGCTTTCAGCAACCTTCCCTGCAATTCCTTCACATTTTCTTTGTTTTGCACAAGTTCGGCATTTTCGTTCTAACAAAGAATTATGTATTTAATTATTCAATTTTATTAACAAAATTGTAATCATGGAGTAAAACCAACAAACAGGTTTAAAAATGGAAAAGTTGTAAAATCTTCGAAATTTTTGGCAATCGGTGTCCTGATACTGAAAAGTATTTACAATGATTTATTGAGTGGTACTCTTCACAAAGACAAAAAGAAGATTTCACCTCTAGATTTTCCAATTTCTTCTCGAACGATATAATCATTCTTTTTCTACTCTCGTTTTCACCATTTAATTCATCATATTCTTCCTTAGCTTGGATTCGTTCCGACTCAATGCAAGATCTTATAACATTCATTTGGAAACTGGCATCCTCCATTTCTTTTTTGTCAAGATTTTCTACAACAAAGAAGGAAAGATAATGAAAAAAGCATTAATGAATGGAGAAATTTAAATTAAAGTAGGCAAATGTGGTAAATATCTTAATTTCAATTTTCAATCCTTTAATCATATCTTGAACAGTATTCCAAGTTCCATTAAACATTCTAAACCTTGTTTTTATCCACATTGTACCACATTTCACATTAACTGATGAGCCAAAATAAGCTTCGCTAATACCTAACCAATTTTGTGCACATGTCTCTAAACTTGTGTTAGGAGTAATGAGTCAAAGTCTCAGACAATTTGAAAATTCGAAAGCTAATTTGAGTCACGAATCTAGTCCAATTTGTGGAAGATGTCAAAGACAACAATGAAAAGGATATGATTATGTGTCACATCAACACTAATGCTTCTTTCTACCTCGCGTGCAACTAATCATGTATCATGTATATCTAATCACGTCATGACAATATTTACCTCAGCTTCAACATTTTTCATTTTATTATTTCTATGAAAAGCCAATGATTATTTGATTATCTTTTAAAAACATATTAACGCAGGGGTTCCCAAACCGCGGCCAGCGGGCCAAATACGGCCCGCGTAACGATTTAAAATGGCCCGCCGAGCTTACGTGAAATATTGTTCAACAGATTTCATTTTTACCTTTTTGCGATCTAGATACAGCTAATTTATGTCATTATCAGAGTTCAAGCACGTGTTTATCGTAACAATTCAATTCTACCAGTATATCAATTATAGGTACCGGTGTTAGGATTACATAGGGCAGTAATTTAGTTATCAGCCATATAGGAAAGCTTAAAGATGACAGAGATCAAACGAAAACTAGATTCAGAAAACTAACGTTTCTTGGATAAATGGCAGTGTTCGTATTTCTCCATTGAAAATGATTTGTCTTCTTTGCCAACAAAATATTCCAGTTGTGAAGGAATACAACATTAAGCGCCATTATGAGTCAAAACACATGTTTCAAAAAAATGTCAAATGAAAGTGAATCCACTTTTGGGTGCTACATTCTTCCGGCCCGCGAACATCTTTCCGATTCTAATTTTGGTCCGCGGCCAATAAAGTTTGGGAACCCCTGTATTAACGTAATTGCAATTTTTCATGCTATTTCAATAACTTGCCTAAACTTGAGTCAAGTTTTTCAGGTAGTTGGTTGAGTCTTGAGTTCAAGTCCAGGAATTTTGTTGAGATGAATCCAGGCCCTTATAGTCTTTGAAAAGGGTGACTCCAGATAATCTCTAGCTATCGGTACTCTTGGGCTCGTAATAAATTTACTTTGTGCATATCACATTATGCTGAGAAACATATCAATTTTCGATATGAACATACACCAGATTTTTTTTCACTCCTGTTGCAAATAAAGCCCAACTCACCTGTCAATATTTGAAACTGTTTTTCTGTATTCCCAACTGCTTCTGTTGCTGAGTTAATTGCAGATGAAACATTCATAAATTCTTGTAAACGTTCCAAAACCTTGCTTTTCTCGTTAGTAAGTTCCACTTCGAGAGAATTCTAAAAAAATCACCAGAAAATTTTCAACCATCAAAAACGATCATAGGTGTTAGGTCATTGCGTTTCTTTCACAAAACTTTACTTAATTAATATACCTTGTCCTGTTCCAGAGCTTGCAATAATGTTTTCATTTCATTGAGTTCCTTTTGTAATGCATCAATTGTATCTTCAAACTTTCTTTCCTGGCCGGGGTAAAACAATTCATGTTTATTGAACAAGAAAAATTTAATGATCAAACTCAAACAATAATCGCTCATAGTCTTATCTTAGTACTAACTCAAAGCAATGAGTTTAAAAAACTAAGACTTTTACATCCAATGTGTTTATTTTATGAATACTCCAACCCGATTTGTTGATCTGAAATTGATTAATAGGTATGTTATACAAAACTGCCTCCCTTTTTTGACTAGGTAATCATATATTTAGTAGACAACAATCATAATCATCGAAACCTATTTCGTGACAATAAAATCAAACTGATAAAATGACTTTTAAATAGACAAAATCATTATCATTTGTTCAAAGCTTTTTCGTACAACTACTTTTCATTACTATTTAAAAGCTAGTACATTGAGAGTAGATTCAAAAAAGACAAATGTTACGTTTAAAATATGAAACTCGTCATGAAAAAAATGACTTCTCAAGATAATTAAAGATATCCCGTATATCTTCTTGTGATTATAAACATTACCTTCTCTAAGAGTTTTTCATTTTCATTTATACATTGATCATATAGCTTCCCTTCTTCTTCTGCTTCCTTCTCTAATCGTTGAACATTGTCTTCTAAGTCTTTAATTTTTTCCATGTTAGTCGACTCTTCTTTACCAGAAATTTTGCGCTTTTCATTACTGAAAAATAAATAAAAATGGACTTATGAGAAAATTAACATTTGGGGCATGACTTCAATAGCTGAAGAATGTAGGATAAGATTTTCACATTTTAGATAAAATGGTGCACCACAACCTCTCATCCGGTTTCCAGCCCATTCTGGGTATAGGATTAATTATCGGCGAGGAGTCCAGCAATCCTCTCCCACATACCTATCCCCCTCGAGATGAGAAACCATGCAGGGTGATCAGAGATGCGAGTGAGTAGAAAAATAGGAATCTGCTAATGATTAATATGGTGCACCCAAGGGTGAATGAGCAAATGGGATTGAAAAATAGTTTCCAAATTATTGGATATAGAAAAGTTCGTGGAATAACATAACATATTTCAAACGAACAAGTTGAGCGCTTGTGGCTAAAGCAGCCATTTTTTGATCTGAATATAGTGCTTTTCAGTTGTGTCGTCAGGTATAGAAAACATTTTTTCATTACCTACATTAAGTAGCATAATATAACACAATCATATCATAGTGGAGTTTGCAACAAAGATGTTCCCAGTCAATTCATAACCATCTGACATTCTTAGATTTCTCTTCCACCCCTTTAAAACATCACTTGAAAATAAAAGATTCGATAGCATTTGAATTGTCCTACCCCAATATCAAACATAGCCCACTGATAATCTAGTATTTGAAGAGTATTCCATGCCAATAAATAACAATTTCCAATTATGTGGAAAATTAAATTGACACCAGTAACTCATGAATCATTGGAATAAATCTCTGAAACAGGGAAATTCTCAACCAGCATATAAATTATTTATTCATATCACTCTCTTCGCCCAATTAGTCACAAAATCAATGAACAAAGACACAGAATTTTCCCAGTTTCATAGATTTATTTCAAATCAAAAACACACAGTGAATTGAACGTTTTTTTTTTCTATAAAAATGAAAATGATTTTTGTTTATTAAGTCTAACAAATCACTATTCATGCAAAATTTGAAAGCTTATTCAACCAACATATTATTTTTTAATGATAAAGACTTTAAATGACTAGATCAATGCTTCTTAAACTTGAACTATAATCCGAGGCCCTTTTCAAGGCTCCTCTCACACTTGTTGGCCCCCAATTTTGCTTTTGAGGAGTTTCAAAAAGTTATTTTGTTTGTCATGTTAAATAATAAAAAGCAAACAAAGAAAAACAACGAATTAAGTACAGTACATTAGGATAGGATATACATATTTATCCCGGGGGAGAGGAAAGGAGATAAAGACGGCTTAACCATATGCCAAACCACGGCCTCTCGTCCGGTTACCATTTCATGTCGGGTATGAGTTTTTGAGTATTTGTTTTACAGTCAAATAATTATACAATTCACATTCAATTTACTTTAACTTAATGATACCTCGTGAATGTTACCAAGTAAAGACATATGTTCGTGATGCTAAGAGAACTTCTTTGTGGCCCCTTGAGGGCACACAGGCCCAGTTTGAAAAACACTGAACTAGAGCTGTTAGTTTTTTCAAAGCCACATTAAAACTACCAGTAAATAGATTTCAGATGAAATGGTTGTAAAAAATTCTGATAAAATATATGATAAAAATGCTAGGTAGGTATCAATGAAACCATTTCACATAAGGCCTAAAAATCCCTTCAAATCTTCATTATGAGAAAAATATTTATACCAAATAAACTAATAATATAGAAAAACTGTAGTGTAGACAATTATAATAGTATTTGTTATATCCTGTGTGGTCGCCATGGCCTGGCACTTTAAAGCGTTAGATTTAACATTGTTGGCATCACAGGTAGGCAATGCCGAACTAAAAGGATTCTGAATAAACAATGAATTATTGAAAAATAAATTTTTGCGGGTCGCCCTTTACCCAGAAAAAAAACATAATTAAGTTCATTTTTGCATTCCATAAGTATCGTTTGTATATTTCAGTATGATCTAATATAAATTAAAGATTAGTGATTACAGTTAACCGGTTGCTAACAAATTCAGAGATATTTTAAATGGAAATCACATATATAAAGAAATAAAGATAAAACAGACGTATTGATAATTATGATATAAACACGCTGTACTCAAGGCAATCACGCAGCATAAACACTGAACAATATGAAAAAAGACCAAAAAAAGGAAGCAAAATCATCTGGAACTAGCAAAAGCCAAAAATATGATAAACTAAACAATTTTGAGTAATTTAAATATCTGAGATTTAAATTTATTGGGTGATTCAGTAATATCAAATGTTTATTTTCAAAATCATAACAAAACATAGATTCAAACATAGTTAATTACTCTTCAATGTGGATTTAAAAATCCAAGAATTGATTGAATTGACTTCAAAGAAAGCACATAAATTTTGCGAAAACAACATGATTCTTATACCCTTACTCTAAGGAACATCTTCTATTTATGGAAACATACCGAAAACATAATTAAATTGGAGACTATTTAAAAAACGTACCATTATTCTTTATTACAAATGTAAAATAATAAAAATTATAAGGTAACTTCGACAATTACAGCTGAATTTGAGATTAGCAGTGAGAAAATGGATAAATAAAATAATAATAATGATAAATTAAAAATAAAAAATAATCGCTTTGCAATAATTAATATTTACTGTTTTAAAATGACAAGATTTATTCAGAAATCAGAATTAAAAAGCACAGTTAATTGATGAAAAACATACACAATTTCGGCAAAAAAAAAGCAAGAATAACGGCAATGAGGTGAAAGGAGAAGAAAACGGCAAGTGAGCAAAAACTTGAACTTTAAAAAACAAAACAAGATAGAGTACGTTTGTATCAATTCAACAATTGTTCCATAACAAAAAAATACTACAGAATATAAATACAATATTTAGTGTCTAATCCATAAATGAGTGTTAGAAATACATTTTCCATAAAATATACTCAAAGCAAGGTCAAAAACACTTGCTCAGGAGTCATCGAAACACACCTCTGTTCAATGTCACATGCGAGCTCTGGAATGCCAATTGTGTCAGGGAAACAGCTACGGTAATGAGCGAGAATCAATTCCATGTTATATTACTTAGTTTAGTTTAGATGAATTACATTGAATATAAAAAAAATTCAAAAAATTTGAAAAAAGTAAAATGTCATATGTGACAAAAAATCCATTCTTTTTTAACCAAATGCATGTGTGGAAATAAAAATGATCCATATTAAAATTGGGATTAAATAATGATTGGAAAAAAAAAAAATTGAGGAGTGGAATTTTAGTACATAGACCAATTCGGATATTGAGATATCCAAATAATCAATTAAAAAAACAGCAAACTTTCAATTGAAAATTTCAAAGTCTCCGTAATTGCAACTATTAATTAAAGTTTAATTAAGATAGGTAAAAACTTAGTAAGCAGTAAATTAACGCAAAATGATAATGTAAATATAAAAACGTACGCTATTCTTCATACCTTTCCATTAGTTGTTCCTGTAGGTCCTTGCATCTCTGCGTGTAATTTTTCAAATCGATTTCTGCATTGTCATTTTTTTGTTGGAGTAGTTTCAAATCTTCTGCTAACTTTTCACGAGTCATGCTTTCTTTGTCAATATTTTCTTGTAGATGAAAATTTGAATCTTTCAACTGCAGAATATCCCGCTGATGATTGCTTATTGCTGATTCCAATTTTAACTGAAATAAACGTTTGAAATTTATATATGAAAACATAATGATACACATTCCGTAAAACTTTGCTCCAAATTCCTATTGACAACATAACAACAGAGCATATCGAAAACAAGCCTTCTGGACCTTCTGAAGAATTTGAACTTAAGAATTATCTTCTATTTGTCAATTTTTCTTTATCTTCATCAACATTTTACAACTCGGAAGGAGGGCAGAATACAAAAAAATTTCACTTTATATTCTGTGTAGTTCTACTAATATTGTTTGGTTATTTAGTCTTGTAATACATATCTATGGTCATATTTTGACCAATTCTCAAACTGTGCAAAAGCCAGAGCATAAATTTCAGGTATCATTTGCTAAACATCGTTTAAAAATTAAAGGAACAATGTGAACAGATTTTTTATGCGTAGTGAGGAGATCAAGAAAACATGGAGAACCACTGCTCTTCATTAACAAAGAGGTGCAAATACATCAATTTTCATAAACAGTGAATAACAACAAGATAATTTCAATCCACCCATATTCAGACAGAATGCCCAGGCTACAGTTGTGTATAAAAATCTTGGATGTTATTGCATGTTATACAATTTTTACAACTCCTTTTTTCCAAATCATGAGAGAAATGTATAACAGTGTCAATTTTTCATTTATTCTATTAACTCAAAAGCAACATGCACGATTCTTTCACAAAGAATGAGATTTTTTTGATATTTTTAAAAAATATGTAGCAATTCAATCTAATATCCAGAAAAATGAGCGAAACTACCAAAAAAGCAATTATTTTCAGAATAAATCAGATTTAGAATCACAATAAAATCTACCTTTAAATTTTGTTGTTCCTTGTAAGCTTCAACCAATTTTTCACTCAAAGATTTAACTTCAGTCAATGCAGCATCTCTTTCATCTTGCATCATGTTACATTTCTCTAAATTTTTAAAATAAGACTTAAAATTAACAAACATATAAGGAGAAACAATCTATGAATAAAGATCATTTGTAATTCTAAGGAAATGCTTTACTGCAATGGTATATCTTAGTAGTTGTGGCATTGCGGAAAAATTTCAGTTTTTCTGAAACTAGCTCCTTGCATATCAGTGACCGCTCGTGAAAGGCAGTGTTTGGATCAATCAAAAAGTCATATAAAAATGGGAGAATAATGAGAAATCTATAGATTTTCCGTAATTCTTCTGTGTTTGGTAAAGTTGAGAGCAGCAAAAGTTCCAACTTAAATTATAAAAAGTTTGAAAAATATTTCCAAAGAGCATTTCAATAAGTTACCAATGTATTGACTTGACTGTATTTCTTGTTCCTCCCCATGAAATTTCTGAAGTAAACTTTCGTTCTGAAGAAGCTTAGATTCATGTCGTAGATTTGAAAATTCATTCACGAGCTCTGTGATCTTTGTTAAAATATGATTCATCTAAGAACAAAATCAATTGGTTACATTTTACATTTACCTTGATGATAACAATTGATAATATTCAAATTCTGGATTTCAAAATAATTTTTGAGCATTCGGGCCCAAAAACCTTAATAATTTTTTTTCAATTTAATTTTCTGCAATTTTTATTCATTTCCAAAACAGACTTTTATTGTTAATGTTTTTTATTAATGAAACACGGCATAATTTAGAATATACTGAATAAGTCACATTTGGGCATATCACAATGGCTGTCCAAGCCTTTCGCTCGGAAGAAAACCTTAAAAAGCAGTCACTGATAACTATCGAGACATGGGAAGCTCCTATTATTCTGAAGAATTTTGAATTACTGGAATCTCTCCTGTCGGTAATTTAACTACTCAATAACACCCTTTGTAGGAATGGAATTTGCACCCGAGATAGGTAATCTTCAACAGCAATCGCCAACACAGATAAGTCTTTAACCCAGGGGTGTGCAACCTTTAATACAAGAGGGACAGATACAAATAACTGGGTGAAACCACATTGTCATCGATAATAAATTAGACTCTGGTATTGGCTTTACAACGATGAGCTCACCTGCTGATTGGGTGTTTGAATCTCATCTGTCGTTTGCAACATTTCCATTGGCAATACATTCAATAACTGTTGAACTATAGCATCAGTAGATAAAGTATATTTCTTTTGCAATTCTTTTTCTCGATTTTCGAAATCTGCACTCAACGATGACTCCATTAGCCGTTTTTCATTTTCCATACTTTCTAAAACTGTTTTAAGTTCGGTTTGTAATGTCGATACTTTTCCTTCCAGAGATTGTCGCTCTTTTTGTAGTTCTAAAAGTTTTTCTTGTAGTTCTAAGTCGTGTTCAAGGTTCTCTGTCGATGTCGAAGGAGAAATTGAAGTTACACTCGTTCCTGAAAAACCGCTAGTAATTAGCGACATTCGAACTGAAACAGTGTCTTCCAAGTTTCTTTTATCTTCTTCTAACACAGAAATTCGACTTTTTAAAGCGGAATTTTTCTCATCTGTTTCCTTGCTTATATTTTCAAGCCCTCTGTACTTGGATTCCCATTCCTGTTCCCGAATCTATACAAAATTTAAATAAGAATGTAAATTATAGGTGAGGCAAGGGCGAAATGATTGATTGACTAAGAACATTTTTATCATAATTTCCACAATTTAATATAACTATATTTCAAAATTTTTTATCAGTCCTGAGCAAGAAGATTAAATTCATTTTAACGACAAGCAAAGTCATGTTTTAAATTAAATGCTAAGAAAGAAAAAAAAATGCTCCCAAATTTAAATAGGTCTCCAAATACACATAACATTCACACAAAGTTATATTTTTCGAAGCCGAAGGTATTTCAATATTAAATTTGAATTGAACATCATTGACTGTAATAGATGCATGCGCCGTGTCACGATTTGTGGAAACGGCGTATATGCGAATTTTTATAAATTCATTTCGAAGCTGTTATTAGGGAGTCGGTTTATCTGCGTGATAGGCGTATAGTCGAGAAAATACGGTAAGACAATTTATTCATGTTCTTTCTGTTGGTTAGAGATTTGAGGATTGAGACTTGATTAGTACGGAACAGACTGGCTTGCTTATTCATAGATTCAGTGAGGGTGTGAATTTGGTACTTTTAAAAAAAATTGCAAAATACCGGTACCTGAAATTCAGTTGTCATTTGACTCATTGCTTCTTCCATACTTTGATTTCTTGATTCTAAATCCGATATAACTCTAGCTAAAATGTCTTGTTTTTCTCCGGCAGATTTTGCCACAGAATTTGCTTCGTTTTCCAGCCTTTTCAATGCCTCCTGTTTGAGAAATCATAGCATTAAAAATTTTCTAGATTTATTTAATTTCGTTATAACTTAAATGACAATCATACCTGTTGTTCCTGTATTTTTTGGTCGGATTCATTCAGTTCAAGTACGAGTTCTTCAACACGAGGGTCAACACTTGGTGGTCCACTGCTCCCTACTTGTTCAAAAAGAAAAGTATTATTTGCAACTTTTTTATCAAGGCTTATATGATGAAAAAAATAGAATCTAGGAATAATTTAGAAGGTTAATAAACGATATTAACAACAATCCGGCATTATGTCAGGTGATATATCAAGTAATTCAAGATTAAATTTGAAAAAATGTAAGTATATACCATCCAATACACTGCTTCCACTTTGTATTCCTCTTATTTGTGGGTTTTCCATCATTAGAGATGCTGATGTCATGTGAGACACATAACTAGTTAAACTCCCCAAACTTGACGTTCTATCAGCAGGGGCTCTCCATTGATCAGCAGTAACAGGATATCTTTTACTGAAAAGTTGTGAAATGTAAAAAATAGGTTGAAAAGGATCTTTATCTATTATATCTTGAATGATCTAAACACGCTAATGCACAGATATTATTATAACTTGATACACTTGCAGTCAATTTATTTATGTATTCGATTCAGGCATCCATGTCCTAACATTACGACAGGTTGTTGAATACAGTGCAGGCATGTTTACTTGAAACTTGAAAAAAATGAATTGAATATTCATGTTGAGCTATATGACAAAATGTAATCAAAGTTAACTCTAAATTTGAGTATGGTTGAGACATTCAGAATTGTTTGGATCTTATTAGATGTAACATGATCTCAATAGCCATCTGAATGGTCTTCTCTCCTCTATATAAAATGAATTGGAAAAGCCATCCAGGAAAGGGGCAGTAGTAATTTGCTCTTGAACCTCATCTTAATTTCACAAATAAAAATTAATCTGACTACTGACTAGGTCAATTATTTGAAATCTCCCCCATGTTAGAGTCAAACAAGGTCCTTGATAAATAAAAATCAATACCTTGCAAATGTAGGCCACGCTGAATCCAAGTCATACCCTTTAGAAACTAAGTCGAAATTGACAGCATTAATCTCATAAAGAGCATTCAGGAACAATGTTATGTAACTTGGACGAGATAAAATACACATTGATTTTAAATATTGAATACATGTTGATTGGTTCATCAAACAATTCTGGAAACTATCAGCAAGTGTTTGATGTACGAGACAATATCGAATGAGAGCTCTTCCTCGACCTTGTGACGACCTCACCTGAAATGAAGAAAATGAAGGATTTAAGCATTGATGAGTAATTTCATACAATAATTTCACACAAGAATAAATCTAAGATTATTAAATGCTTATTAATAATAAACAATGTTGTTGTTCAAAACACATTAACACTATGTTATCATCAACACATTTTTATTAAGTGTTTACAACTTCAAAAAAGGCTATAGAGACTGACTGTTTGTGATCCTACATACAATCCAATGAACAGCTTTGTTAAAGCTAATAAATCATATTTTAGCTTGGTGGGAATAACTAAATCAACAACCTAACTTGTCAAAATAAAATTAATCAAAACACATGTAAAAAGTAAGTATAAATCATTGATGATCAGCCCATGATTACGTTATATTAAATAATGGCCGTGTGAAGAAATCTGGATAATTATCTAACTGATATCTTGGGATATGCACATCATAGTTTCCGATATTTGGAAAAATACAAGTTGCTTCACAATTTAGACTGGATCTTAGAGAAGTGAACAGACTTCTAAGTGTGTCTCATTCAAAATTATACAATATTATATCAAATCAAAAGTTATACTATAAAAAATTCACAGTAAGCTATGATATAAACATGTTCATGCAAAACACAAACTTCCAAAAAAAAAATTTATTATGCTTCTCGTGAATGATCCACAGATACATTCAGTGAATTTTATCGTTCAATCAAAATCGTTGCTGAAATACATCGATACTATTGTCAGCTTTTTTGTTGCTTTTCTTAGATAATTTCAATTTTAGATATTTTAAACATTATAAATAAAATGTCA